CTCCTCTGTCATTTACATTCTGAACACAGAATATTAAAGTATGATTTTCTCCTTTTTGGCTTGGTTTTCGGTGATTAGCTCTCTTGCCTTTTTCAGCATAGGAATATCTAGGAACTTCATTTAAGTGGAAAGAACACTCATCAATTGCTAAAACAGGAGATTGAGACAAGTAAGGAATCTTTTCAATAAACTTGGCAATTTTCTCAGGATGATTTAATTGTTCAGCATAGTGATAATTGATTTTCTTATGAGTAACCTTTCTTTTTTTTAGATAACGAGAAATAGTGGGTTGACTAATCTTTTGCCCCGTCTCTTGAAAGATACGGTCTGCTATTTCTTGCTGAGTTGAAATATCTCTTTTTTTAAGAAGAGAGATATAGTGCCTTAAAAGTTTCTCTAACACTGGATTTCTTCTAGTTTTTGGTGTTCTGCCTATCCCTTGGTGAGTTACATGTAATTTTCTTCGTTTATCTCAATTTCTAATAGTTCGGTCAGTTACTCCAAAGGCAATAGCAGTTTGTTTTTGGGTTGGTTTTTTTATTTTAGTTAGTTTCATATATATTTATATTTGTGTAAGTATATTTAGATAATTATTTAGTTAGAGAGTAAATATGATTTCTCATTCGCATTCTTTTAGAGGGATTGGTAATGGTTTTCCAGTATCCTTTCTTATTTTCATAATAGAGTTTCTTTAAGCAGGGATTGCAGATGTATTTTTCTTCGTCTTCTTTTCTTTCAGTTCAATAACCTCAATTATTGATAAGAGTTCAATCTTTGCGAGGATAATTGTATTTGACTATTACTTCTTCTTGGCATTGGAAGCAATTGACTTTTTTACTTTTTTTATAACATGGGTAACAATTCTTTACTCATAAATGATTAGTGCTACCATTTTTAAATCAGAAAACTAAAAGATAAATTTTGCTCTCGTGAGAAACTTTCTCTACAAAAGGAACTCGATTTCCTTTATATCCCTTTTGTGGCTCTACTTCTTTTGGTAAGTTGTTGATTAATTTTCTAATCAGTTCTTTTGTAATACCATCTTTTTTATGTCGCTTCAAGGGATAGTCAGTAATAGTTAATCACTCTATTTTTCATTCATTAAGAGTAATTTGACAGGGATAAGTTCAAGTTTCTTCCTTGGTCTTTTGTCCCACCACTATTGCTTAACCTGAATTTTTACTTCCAAAGGTTTAAATATTTGACTAGCATAATTTACCAACCTATCCAAAGTGAAATTATCAATGTAACAATAAAGAATTTCTTCAGTTTCACCACTCGTTAAATGGATTTGTTTAGCCAATTTTTCAGTTGACAAATTATTTACTCTCTTATAACGAATAATGTTTTGACATATTTCATACTTCGCTTGTTCTAAAGGGGTAGGGTCTTCCGGTAAACCTTGGGAAACTAATCCTTGGTAATTAGGGTCTTCTAACTCTTGGAGGTATTTTTCTAGTTCTTTTTCTTCTGATTGTTTTTTTACATTATTTAGGTTGTTTTTCATAGTTTATTAAAATTTCTTTTTTTACTGAACTGTTGATGGCAATTCTCTTTCGTTCGGTTTACTTTTTTTGTTTCCGTTTTTTCTACCATTGCTTTTTAATAATTTTTTCTGATTTATCTACTCTATATAGCATTTTTCAAAATTAATGTCAGTGTTAACTTTCTTTTTTAGTGCTTTTTCATCAAAAATAAGCAACTAATCCAATTACTATTGCTCCGACTAATATACTGCCTCCAATAATTCAAGGCATTCAATTGGTTGGTTTTTCTCCTCCTACCTCATCTCGTTCTTCTTCCGGAATCGCTTTTAAATTTTCTTGTCTAATTTCTTCTAATTCGGATTTGAATTCGGGGTATTCAGTCTTTAATTTTTCTAACTCATCTTTTCCCTCGGCAAAACGAATTTTAATTTCTTGAATTCTAAGTTTGTACACTTCTTTATTCTCCTTTTTTAGTTTTTCTAACTCTACTTTTATAATCTCAGAGCTCTCTTTTACTCCTTTTATGCTACAAGCAAAACAAGCCTTATTTTGGGGAGTTGATTCATCATAAATTATAGCAGTTCCAGTTTTTAGACAAAGCAAACACTTTTCATTCTTTTTAATTTTTGTACTCATATATTTATTTTATACCCTTTTTGTTTATATTCTGTTAAGGTATGAATAATATTTTAAAAAGGTTTAACTAGAAGTAGAAAATTTCCCCTCATGGATGTAGGTGCGAAGTTTGCCCCTTTTCTTTAAATCAGTAATAGTTTCCCAGTAAGTTTCTTTATCATAATAGAATTTCAAAAGGCAAGCATTACAAATCTGTCTATCTTTCTTTCTTGCTTCTTTATCTTTCCAAAAATCAGGATTTTTGGCTTCCGGATTGGTTCAGTATTCCCAATTATTCTTTTTGGAATAAGATTTATGGGGAATTACATATTTGATTTCAAAAGTATTTTTACATTTAAAGCACTTAACTTTTAAAGGTAGGGGGAAAATGTTCTTGTTGATTAATTCCACTGTTTTTTTTTTTTTTTTTGCTCCATAAGTTATTTTTTTTATATTTAAAGTTAGTTATTGGTTTCATATTTTTAAAAAGCGGAAATTAATTTGAATAGTGTAATATTATGAAACTAATTTATATTAAATCTACTATTACTCCCAAAGATTATAGTATAGTGCGGGAAATACTAAAAAAAGAAAGAGGGGAAAAATCGGCTCCTTTTATTTATAAATTAAGCAAATTAGACAGTTTGGAACAGTATTTAAGTAAAGAAAATATTAACTATGAAGTTTACCAAGAAGAAAAAAGACTTTCACCTCCTAATAAAAACGATAAAAAAACCGTTGCTAAAAGCAAATCAAAAGACCAAGAATTAAAAAGAGCTTATCAAGCCATGGCTAAAAATAAAAAATTAAAAAAAGAATTAGCGGTGTGAGATGAAACATTAGGGGACAGTTATAAATAAGTGAACAAACCAAATTCAAAAATTCCCAAACAGAGTGAAATCTGGCTAGTCAAATTTCCTAAAAATAAGGAGGGGCGTAAACCTTTTCGCCCTTGTGTGGTAATCAGCAACGATAACCAAAATAAATACGATGAGGAAGTGATTATTATGCCATTAACTACTGAAGAAGTTATTACAGGCGAAATTCAACCCTTTGAAATTCCGGTAATGGGTTAACTCAAAAACCGGCTTAAAAAAACCAAGTAGGATATTAACTAATCGCATTCACACCATAGACAAAGAATTAAAACTGGTTGAGAAGTGACTTGAGAAAAACTGTTGATCTCTTTATGAACTGGAATTAGAGTAAATAATGAGTAAACCGGTTATCATAATTTTCTCTTTTTTGTTAATAGCACCAATATTATTGACAAAACCCGGGATAATTTTTTGAATGACATTTCTATCAAGTATCTTTTTAATAAGTCTCTTTCCTATGAAGATAAGAAATACGACTGGTTTTATTTAATCCGCAATGAAAGATTTTTTAAACTTTATAATTTCGATGACGGCAAGCCTTTTGAACCGGATTATTTGCTAATTTTATACCAAAAGGAAAAGCAACTGTATTATCAAATATTTATTGAACCCAAAGGTAGTTATCTACACGAAAAAGATGCTTGAAAAGAAAATTTCCTTCTATCTCTTAAAGAAGAATACAAAATAGAACGATTATGGGAGAACAAAAAGTATCGCATTTGAGGCATGTCTTTCTATAATAAAACCAAAGAAATTGAATTTGATAAAAAAATTAGTGAAGAACTGTTGTAATTATTTCCTATGAAGCAAAAATAATAATATATGACCAGCGAAGCACAAAATTATATTGACCGAATGAAAAATAAAGAAAAACTTACCTATTTGGACCTAAGCAATCAAGAGCTTGAAGGAAACCTAAATTTAGCAAATTTTTCTAGTTTGGTAAGCATTAATGCTTTCAAAAACAAATTCAACGATTTAGATTTTTTACTGAGTTTACCCAATAAAGAAAAATTGAAAAAAATAAATTTTTGGGGAAACAAAATAACCAATCCCGGAAATGCCCTTGTCCTATTCGATAAATTTCCCAATTTAGAATCAATAAACTTAGGAGGTAATCCTCTCGCTTGGAATAATTTGAAAAATTTAGATGACCGGCAAGTTTTATTATTAATTAAATTAATTGAAGAAGAAAAGGTTAAAATCAATGCTAATTCTCCCGAAATAACTCTTTTAAAATATATCAAACAATTAAAAGAAGAGAATATGCTTCTCAAACAACAAGTCCAAATCGAGGTTCCTCCGAAATAGCATTTTTTTTATTCTTTCTATAAGCAAGGACTTAAACATTTTTTTCATTTAGAGTTGGAGAAATCAAGACTAGATCTTTTTCGATGTTTTTTTGAAAAGCGGGTCGCATTTGTTTTCAATTAACTAACTCAACCATAAAAGGTAAATTTGACTGCTCGAATTCCTCCCGCATTTTGTAAATAATGCTACTAGGAATATTGTCATAATAACAAAGATCCAAATCGGACAACTTTCAAGCCTCACCTTTCACTCGGGAACCATAAGCATAGAACTGATAAGGATACTTACTTAGTATCTGTTGGATTATTTTCCGGTGTCTTTCTTCTAATTGAACCATAATATTAAAGTTTTTTTAAATTTTTAATTAATATATCAAGATTTTTTAAGAACCGGGGTAAAATTGGATAAACTTCTTCCATTATTTTTTCATAATATTCGTGAACAGTAAGGTTCCTCTTTTCAACATAATCAAATCAGACCTCGGCATCGGGGATTAGACCTTCTAAACCGGCTATCCGAAAAACTTCTTTGGAAGTATAAACATGGGTTCCGCGCAAACTAAGTATTTTTCGACAAGTCTTATAAGCCAACTCATAACTGACTTCAAAGGCTTGGATAGTACCCGCAATTTCTAATTCAGTTTTGGCATCTTGGAGGGCTTTTTGGAGAAAATTACGAGCATTTATTAATGGTTCAATATTTAACTTACCATTTAGAATGTATTTAGGCATGATTAATACTATTTTTTTATCCTTTACTACATAGCATATACTATTTTTAGTTCTATAAACAAATTTCGCACTCCCTACCTACATAAGTAAAATAATATATATGACTGGAAGAAGTGTGAACATTTATCTCCAAGAAGAGACATATAATCAATTGCGAAAACTAACTGGCAATCGAAAAATTAGTCGCTTTGTTGATGAAGCAATAATTGAAAAATTGACCAAAGAACAAGAAAGAAATAAAGAAGAACTAAAAAAGAAAATGATTGAGGGTTATAAGGCTAATGCTAAAAATAAGAGACTACAAAAAGAGTTAGGAGCATGAGAAAAAATTTCTGCACAAGATGTTTTAACTCAAATGGAAAAAAATGAACGAAAAAAAGATAAAAAATCCTAAATCAATCAAAAAACTAGGTATTCCCTGTCAAGGAGAAATTTGATTAGCCGAACTTCCTAAAATTAAGGAATTTTCTAAACCTTTTCGTCCGGTATTGATAATTAGTAATAACCTTCAAAATGAATTTGATAACCTCACAACCATCGCTACTTTGACTACTGATGATGTTGAAAATGTTAAACCCTTTGAAGTTTTTATTGAAAACACCCTAGAAACCGGTTTGGACCATTCTAGCAAAATTCTAGTCGGTTACTCTTTTACTATTTACAAGGAAATACGGCTGATTAAAAGGTTGGGAGTGGTTAGCGAGGAAATAATGAACCAAGTTAAAACGGCTTTGAGAATAACTTTTGATTTGGAAGATTAAATTTTTTTTATCAAAAATTCAACCCCTCTTGGCACTTTTACCTAAATAAAAGAATTATACAATGGCATCAATAATAAGCATGGAGAAAATTAAACCAGAAAAAGAACACCTTTCAACTATAATATTTCTACATGGCTTAGATCAAATTCCATGAAAAGATTTTTTTAATCTTATAAAAAACTACTTTCCACACACTAAATTTATTCTCCCGCAAGGTTCGCTGAAATCAATTGAAATTAATGGTCTAAAAGTTGTTTCCCCTATAAATGCTTGATATAGCATGAGTGGAGACTTATGCAAAATTCAAAAAGAAATTCCGCTTGAAGAGGTAGAAAAAATAATCAAAATCGATAAAAAGGAACTATTAAAGTCAAGAAATGAGATTAATAAACTTATCAAGGAAGAAATTAACTTAGGTACTCTTCCACAAAAAATTGTCCTTGTTGGCTTTTCCCGAGGAGCTTCGATTACTTTGACAACTGGATTAGTTTTTAATATTCTTTGGGAGAAGTTATTTGTATGAGTGGTTTTCTACCTTTTGGCCAAGAAGCATTAATTAAATTAAAGCAATCGAAAAACAAAAAAAACAAAAATTCTTATTTGCCATGGAAGGCAAGACGACGTTGTTCCTTATTGGCTTATTGAAAAGAGTTCTAAAATCTTAGGAGTAAAACCCAAAAGTTATCCATATGGTCACGATTTGGGCGAGGAAGCATTTAAAGATGCAATTAACTTCTCTAAAAATGTTTTCTTAGAGAAAGAAATAAATTTTGATGATAAAGAAGCATGAACTAAAACAAATTTTTCACGAAAATAATTCTTAGTTATTCGTCATTATTTTGGAAATGCCATTTTTTAAACCTAGCAAAAATTCTTCAACATATCCCATTTTTCATGCGATTTTGTCATATCTCCCTTAGTAATATACAAAAATCTTCACTTTTTATTTTTTCTTGCCTTTTCTCTTAACTCCAAATTTAAAGCATTTACCCATTCTTTCGCCGCCTGATTTTTCTCATCTATTTCCGGATTAGGATTATTATCATCCTTAATTTCTATTAGTCAGTGAATATCGTTTTCATCTACTACCAAAATCCGGAAAATAATGTCTTTGCTTATTTCCATAAAGAATATAAACTTCATCCCCTCACTATAAAAGTCGAATTCATTTTTTAACTTCTTTTGGTTCTGTCAATTAACTTGGCAAACTGAAACTCAATTCCACTATCAAAAGTATCATAATTATATAAACCCTTGACAAGTTGGTAGCCTTTGGTTCTTTTGGCAAATTCTTCCTCCAAATTTTTTTTGGCAACAACTTCGCAACTTGGATGATAATAACTAAAAGGTTTTTCAATTACTTCTTGTTCGGGCTGATTTTCGCCTACATGTAATTCTTTAAAAATGTTTTGGGTCAACTTGGCTAACTGTCCCGGCTGCTTCTCAATATTGCGATACTATTTCTAAATTTACGGACATTTAATAACTCTTGAAAATTATCATGCATTATGATTTCCAAAGTATTTAAGGCTTCTTTGGAGGTATGACTGCCAAAAGGTAAACGCAAAACCACGACCGGATAATTGTTCGATAGCCCGTAAGGGAACAATAACATAAACATTTTTGACATCTTGACCCTCTTTTAGCATCTCAACCGCAATAATAAATAATTCGAGCGGGATTGTAGGGATTATCAATGTTTTGTAGTTCTTGGGCTAAATCATCGGTAATTTTGTTACTGCCAACTTGGAAAATGTTTTCAGATAGTTTTTCAGTATCTTTTTCTGAATTATAATAATATTCTAAAAATTTTTGAACTGCTTCTTTATTTGGTCGGCAGAGTTCTAGTTTTTTGGAAATTGTTGTCGAGGATATTATTTCAACCAACCTTCTTCATTGGCATATATAAAATTTAGTAATATTTAATATTAAGAATGCTAAAATATTATTATAATAAGATATATGAAAAAGAAACAAAAAATAACTTGTTTGATTTGCGATAGTGGACTGAAAATAAAAAAATGTTCTCAATGCGGAGGAAGTATTCACTTTTTTGTTAAAGATGAGAAAGAATATTTATTAAACAAAAAAGCAATAGAAAAAATTAACGAAATATTCCTGAGTTCTAAAAGTTTCTGCGAAAAAAAAAATGCTTTACTTAACCTTTTAAAGAGTTTAGATTTGGAAAAAATGCCAGGGGTTGAAAATCAAAAAATTAAATATCTATTGCAAAGTCGGCTTTTCAACGAATTAGCCAAAAAAAATATGGAAGAGTATGAAAAATCAACGAGCGATTTTTTAGGGAGATAAGAGGAATTTATGAGTGATCTACTGCTGCAATATTGAGGAAAAATTATTAAGGAGGAGTTAGGTATCGTTCTAGGCACTTATAAATACACTTTCTTTACTTATGATCAAAAAAAGATAACTTTTTATGTTGATTATCAATTAGAATGACGTCCCAATACTCAATACAAATTAAAGGTTAAAAAAATCGATAATAAAAAATATAGTCTTTTTGATTCTATAAAAGAAGAAATTATTAATTTGCCCGCAAAAGAAGGTGAAGAAAAAATACTAGAATTTAAGTGGGAAACAAAGAAGCAAATTCAAGAACTTGAAGAAAAATATCAAAAGATCGAAAAAAAGTTAGACAAGAAAACAAAAAAACCTATTATCAAGCAAAAAAAACAAAATGATTTTTGAGGATTATTGTGGAAAATTTTTTCGTAGCTACTTGTATTGAGTACTTATTGATCATTAGGAAAAGAAAGAGTTTAAATTCTCGCATAATGCTGTAAAATATTAATTGGTATCTTGCCAATTTTAATGTTATTAAATTTTCCACTTTCTAATTCTGGATCAACCGCCAGATTTGCAATTTCTAAAAACTTTTCTCGTCCAGCGAATTCAGCAAAAAATTCAGTAATCCCTCGGTCAGCATGCCATCTACCACGGCTAATAAAATATCTCCTTTTTTTGCCGCAAAAATGTTCGTTTTCCGGCTGATAGTCATATTCTAATTGAGCAGCGACTAATTTCGCTAAGTTAAAGCATTTAAACTATCGCCACAAATTATTAGGTTATCGCTAGGAATTATTGCCAAATTTTTGCTCCGCTGAATGAATTTCCACTTCTTTTAATAATCTTACTTCAGAAACCCGGAATCGTTAGGGTCTACTCATTCATATTTAAATTTCTCATAATCGCTAATAATTAGAGTTTTATTTTTGTTAACTCAGTTTAGTTCTAATTTGCCGGAGAGTTTATTGTTCATGATTCTTTTTAATTTTCTTTCTTTGTCGATACTCAAAGAACATCAAATAACTTCATTTCATCTTTGAATTCATTAATCAATATTTCGCCTCTTTTTTTAATATCTGTTGAGGTTAGTTTATCAAGATTGAACAAAAAACTTTCTTCTCAATTCAATGGGCATCTCTTACCATATTTTTTAATTTCGTTTTTTTTCACTTTTCAGTCGCTGTTAGACATTCGAGAGTTCGAACTGCCCTCCACTAACGTGACATTTCCTAATGAATAAATGTCATCTTCCTCAAATTCTTTATTTTTTTGCTTTAATATACTTTGGGGCACTAAGTGTTCTACACTTGTCTTTTTTCAATTATATATCACTTGTTTTAGGTCCATAGTAGAACTTTCTGCTGATTCAAATTTCAATATGTTTTGAAACTTTCTAGAATAGTAAGTTTTTAGGACGAACTCCCAAATTTTATTTCTTTTCGTTGAGTAAGTTAAAAGTTCATCATAAAATTTTTTCCTACCATCGTCTGAAAATTCCTTTTCCAACCAATCCTTTTTCAAATCGCTATTAAACAGTTTTTTATTTACAGCAATTTCTTCAATTATTGAAGGGACAAAACGGGGAATATCTCCCGGAGATTTCCCTTTTACTGTTATTAATCTGAAAATAAAGTACAGAGTGGTTTCTAGTTCTTTCATCACTAACTTTTTTTCTTCTTCTGAGTCTTCTTCGAGGTCAAAATAAATTTTTAAAATAATAGGGAACAGTTGAGAGTAATTCAAAGTCGAAATATCACTAATTGTGTAAAATATTTCAGTGGGCCAGGAACTTTTTTCTCATCAACTTTTATCGGGGTCTTTTATATTTTTATAAACCTCAGCATAATTAGTAAGCATGCTAAGTATTTCAGATGCTTTATTCTCGTCTGTAACTTCACTTTCAAAAAGGTCGTATATGCTGAGTTTAGTCGGTTTAATATTTCGTTTCTCATCAGTGGGTTTTTCTCAGAATTTCGCTAATCAAAAATCAATCAAAAACCCATCCATTTCTCTGTTTATGGTTTGCCTCTTGCTAGCTTCACTAATTACCTCTACTATTTCTCTTTCTCAAGTCCGAACTACTTGTTTTTCTGATCCAACTGATTTTCTAACCAACAGACTTTTTAAGAGATCAGAATTACTTAAATTTAATCCTGTATTATTTAGAGCTGTGAAAAGTTCTTGAACCTTGTCATTATGAGGAATTTCTACTAGTGCGAAGTAGAAGTTTTTAGTTACGACCTCATAAATTTCTTGTAAATTATATTTAGTTTCTGTTTCGAGAAATTTTGTAAAAAATCCTTTCGCTCTTAAAATATTCCCAGGTTTCCTCTTCCTTCCTTTCTTTTTCATCAGTTTATTAACTTGCAAAAGACCTAATGCCTTTTCAAATTCTTGTTTGTCATATTTGTTATTCAAACTTATTCTGATTTCCTTTTCTTGGTTTTCATTTTCTAAAAAAAGAATTTTCTCAATACTAGGATTCTTCAATTTCTCATAAATTACATGAAGTAAAATAAATGCAGTGACTAATCTTTGTTGACCATCGATAATTTCCGAAAAATCATTATCTTCATTACCTTTTTTTAAAATTATATCACCAGCAAAATATTTTTGTTGATCAAGTTTCCGTTTTTTACTAACTCCAAACAATTTTTTATTGTCTATAAAATTAGTGATGCTTTGGATAAACTCTTCTCAATTTTCTTCATCTCAACTGTATTCACGCTGAAATTGAGGTAACACGAAATATCTTTCTCCTACCAAGTCTAAAAATTTTACTCTATTTATGATGATCTCTTTCATATTTTATTTTTTTATAAGTTTTCCGGGTAAAAAATAATGGGCTTCCAAGTCTTTGATATTGAAGAGTAAAATCTCGGAATGAAAAATTATTCCTTTGCCCCCATTGTTGTCATGTAAATTGTTGTCATCTAAATTATAAATATTTTTTGGCAGAGTAATTATACTACTTATTTTTGGATATTCGCCGCTATCGAATTTTAAAAAGCGTCTACTGTTCAATGTTAGGTTAAACCTTAATCCGTAGGGAGTAAAGAGAAGAATTGGAACGTTTTTACCAAAGAGTTCGATTGTTTTCGCTAAAAATACTTCGGGAAGAAAAGGCCTTCTAGTTCATCCATTTTCGGTTAGATATTTAAAGGTAGTTTTTTGTTCCTCCATATCTTCATGTATATTGAAAGGTGGGTTAATAATAATTAAGCGAGGAGATTCTTTGTAATCTTTTTTTTCACTCGTTAAATAATCCATCTTTCTTGTATTCGGAAAACCTTTGTCCTCTATATCAATAGCTTCAACTTCATAACGGGCTTTTTTTCAAGGAGACAGTAATTGACCACTACCTGCACATGGATCTAAAATTGTGTATAAATTTTTGTCAAATTTCTTACTCAGCAAATTAAACAACCACTCACTCAGACAATCTGGAGTAAAAACGTTGCAGGTTTTATTTATCTGGCTCGTGCCGAGACGGTTTCTGTACATAATATAATTTTTGATTATTTCCCTCCATAACTTTGAATAACTTAAGGAATAGGAAACCAATAAATAAAGAAATAAGCATAACAATTAATTTAGTTTCTCCCCGTGAACACTACCCACAAAGCATTCCAAACCTGATTTCAAACTTCGCATCTACTTTTTCCTAACCTAGTAATTAACCGTTCTTCCTTATCTATCGCTAGTAAACAGTGGAGGAGTATTTTGCTTTTTTCATCCAATCCATTTTCTTTATTGACTTCAATTAATACAATACTTCGAAAGCAGCGACATTTTTTCACTTTTTTTACTAGTCAAAGGAGCCGCTACCGCATACTTGTTATATTGGTTCTGCCAGTTATTACTTAGAACTAGCATAAGACAGATTTTTGATTGTTCTTTAACTTTCTTACGATTAAAGTCTACTATTACAATGCCAATAATTTTGTCCACTTTTTATGGTTAATTTTACTATTCCTAAATCCCAAGGTAAACTATTGAAAAGTTAAAAATAGGTTGTCGGCGTATTTTCACAGTCGGACAAAAGTCTTAGGCATCCCTTGTCTTGTTGTTCTAATTTGCAATATTTACCAGTAGTTAATTTTCCTGTCTAATAAAGTCATGGTAGACCCGCAAGAAAAAAGTAATCCAATGGCAAATATGGTAAAATAATATATTATGGCAAATGCCCAAATATGATTAGAGGAAAATTATCCTCTCGATACAAGAAAAAACGTGACAAAGATAGAAATTGATGAAAACAACTTAGAAGGGTCCCTGAAATTAGAAAACTTTATTAATATTAAAGAATTGCCTTGCTCGAATAATCAGATTACCTCATTAAAATAATTGATAGTCCGAATTTAGAACATTTAGAATTAGGAAATATTATGAAATGAGAGGATAAAAATATTTATAATCGTTTTGTTGGAACTTTAGAACATTTGCGGAATATGACTAAATTATGCTTACTGGAAATTGGCAACACCGATATTGATAGCGGTTTGGAGTATTTACCTATTAGTCTTAGGGAATTCGATTGTATGTCCGCGGAAAGAAAAGAAGCGAAAGTTAATCTAATTGCAGAAGAATTGAGAAAACTAGGTGAAATTGGAGAAAATGGTAATTTTATTCATCTGCTTAAAGAGTGAAGAAAAAAAACTCTGAATTAGTGGTAAGTGTGTTATGAGAAAAAATAAATAAAACTGAGGAAGAGTTAGTTATCGAAAGAGAACACGCAAAGGATATAGATAATTGATACCAAACCTTATTAGAAAAAGAAAAAAAGGTTGGGGAAATTACTGAGAAGCAGCGAGATAATTTAAAAGAACAGGTTCGACAATTACAGAAAAAGTTAGAAGATTTGCAAATTAAAGAAAATCGAATTGAGATTCTTCCTGAAAATAGTTAAAAATTTGTCTAAAAAAGTAGACAATATTTTTGGTATTATTGTAATCAAATTTCATCCTGTCGGGGAATATGCTGGATCTCACCTCGTTTAGGAATTTTGCTACTCATTAATTATCTTCTATTCCTTAAATCATGAAATCTGCCATCATCTATATCTTCCAAATGCCTTGCTAATTCTTTGGGGTTGATTGGTTCCTTTCAAACATGTTTGGGTGTTCCTACTAAAACCCCATCTTTTTGAATATCTCTCACAGTGACGACCATAACTCATTTACCAGTATTTAAGGTAGGGGACTTCTAATTCATCAGATAATTTTTTTCAATATTCTAATTCTTCTAATGTTGCCTCTCCTATTTCACAATCAATATTATTGCAAATAGAGGAAATGGAATAACTAACCTTCTTTCATGCATCAAAAGGAGATACATCATGATAGGCTTCTTTCTAGACTACTTTACCTCGGCAGTTAAGTTTTTGGACACTTTTGGTTTTCTTGGCTTCTATTCACTACTTTGACTTGGTTTTATGTGTTTTTTAATTGCCATTAAATCTTTCAATTCTTTCTCAGTTAAATTATTTATTATTCTTTTATATTTATTCTGGTCCTGATGACTTAGTTAATGAAAAATTTATTGCAGATTCCGTGGTTAAACTTGGGGCTCGGAGTTTGCCAACTCAAGTAATTTTTTGAATAGTATAACTAAATTTTTGCAAATTGGTTAAAATTTCCATGGTTAAATTAGCCACCGGAGAGGCAATTTCTTTAAATTTAGTTTGATATTCTTGATGTAATCGTTTTATTTCCTCTTCTATGTCCCTAGGAGGAGGTGGGCCTTGTTTAAGTAAAATTTGCAATTCTTGTTCTTTTAGGACCTTTGCTTTTTCTAACTCTTCAACTCTTCTTGAACTTTTCTGAACATAATCATGTTGAGACATTCGTTCGAACTTAATTTCCTCTTCTAATTTAGCAATTTCGCCTTGGAGTTGTTTAATTTTTTCTTGATTTCTATTTTGATTAGGATTATTTTGTAATTTTCCTAACTTTCCTAAATATTTCTCGTGGAGCCTCAAAACTTTTGCTGTCGCTTCTTGATAATCAGAGCTTTTAGCATAAGCGGCTTGTAATTTTTCCCAAAAATCTTGGTGCTCTCCCAAACCTCCTTTTTCTCTGATGTGTAATTCGGCAATCAAAGTTAAAATTTGTTCGGAAGTAATTTCGGAGTTTGGTTGCCTTGGTGGTTCGCGAGGTTTGGATCCACAACTATGGACAAATTTTTCATTAGGGTTTTTTAGTATTTCGTTTAAGGCAGTTTCTATTTGATCGACTTGGCTAATAAAATGAACTTGTTTAATTTTCTCTTTAATTTGCAAAGATACCAAATCATAATAAGAGCCCGAATTTTCTTTGTAGCAGCGACCATTATTTAATTTAGCACATGCTTTCTTGTTTCTATTTTCTTCGCACAAAATAAAAATATTTATCGGATTTTCTTTTTTAATGTCATATCCTACATTGTATCCTAGTTTAAGGTTTAATCCTCCAATCCCTCCTACTTTTGGTCTTTTGAAAACAGTTCCAGTTGAACCTAAATTTCTTGGTAAAGGAATTTGATTGATTAAACTATGAAGTGCTAAATAATAAGCAATACCGGCGGATGGTCCGCTCATTGATGAATCAGTTCTAATCAAGCAATAGGCATCATAATCAAACTTTCCTTTTTCAGTTAAATAATCTCGAACAAACTGTTTATATCCCTTTTTATCCTCATAGGCAATTTGAGCTGAAAAATTGATAATTGTTTCAGAATTATTTTGGTTTCCTTTTACTTGTGGAATTCTTCCTGCTTTTGGTTTCAAAAAAATTATTAAATCGCTAGAACCTCCAATTTCTCTTTCTTCTCGTTCACTAGTTCATAAAATATTTGTCGCACCAATTCGTTTTTCAGCATTTAAATCGGGTATTTCTTGGTCGAGCAAGTTTCATTCTTTTAATTTTTCAATGTCTCGGTCAACATAGCCTTTATTCCGTAACTCTGTCTTTCTAGTAATTTTTTCCAGTAGTTCCTTTTCGCGAATTTTTTGGTATCAGGCAATTAAATCCTCAATTCTTTTTAAATCTTGAAGGCGTCTCTGATATTCCTCTAACTGCCGATTATATTCTTTTTGTTGCCATTTCAGTCAGTTTTCAACGTCACGACGAAATTTCTCTCGGGCATGGTCTAATATTGACCTATTTGAATCTTTTAAATATTCCTCAATCCACGGTCTTAATTCTCACCAAATCCTTTCAATAATTTCCGGTGGCAGAGTTCCCCCAATACCCGACCGACTGGGTTGAAAAGCACTAATTAAAAATTCCTCTTCTATTTCTTGAATAGTCTTCGCTTCTCCACTCGGTTTTTTAGTTAATTGATTAAGGTTATTGGTATTACCTAAAAGACTACTTGCTAATTGTAAAACCGCACTTTGGGTTTGTTGATTTTGTTGTTCACCTAAATTAGTTATTTGGTTCGCTCTACCATCCCCGATTAAAAAAATAATTGTTATTAAGGTTCCTAACAGAAACAAACCACCAGCAATATAAGCGAATATTAAATTATCGTTTTTTTTTTTTTTTTTGCGTTCCATTTATTTTGTGTCATTATATTTTAAATTTTAGCCTTTATTCATTTTTCTATCTGCGACAAAAATAATTTCTTGCTGGAAAAGAACGCTTAAAGATTATTTAATTCCGCTCGGGCTTCTTCTAAGATTATTTTGCGAATATTAGTTTCTGAACTCTTAATATTTTCGGCTACTCTGCTAATACTGTTAGCATTTTTATTCAAATCTCCCAACTCTTTTTCTAGGCGAGAGAGAAATTGAGGTAATCTGCTACTTATTCATGCTTCAAAACTTTTAATTCTCTTTTCTTTGCTGTCCGCATTAACTGTTTCTAGTAAATTATGTTTTTGAATTAAACTATCTCGCATTATTTTAGCAATATAAATGAAATTAGTATCATCACTCACATAAATTTTCTTGCGCGGGTCTAGACAACGCAAAGGTTTGCCATTTTCGCAAGTAGCGATAATTATACCGAAATCGGCTCTTAAATGAGCCATATCATTTTCTAATTTATTAACCCATTCATTATCCCATTTTTCGGTATCTTTGGCTTCGTAAATTATCCGACCAGCAATTTCGTTGTTTTCGGTTAGTACTTCTTGAAGAAAATCGGCTTTTCGACCGGTTTGGGTGATTTTGCTTATTTTGTCTTTGTTATCAAAAACCCGATTTAATTCTTCGGAAATATATTGCTCGAATAACTCTCCCTTTTTTTTGCTGTTGATTCGGCTTTGGTCCCGCAATAACTGATTTTGATTGCGTAATTCACTAACTTCCTCAGCCAGTTTGCGAACCCTTTCCAGTTTTTCAATGTATTCGGAAGACTGTAATTCGTTTATTTTCTCTCTTTGTTGTTTAATTGCTTCGCTTAATTGACGCACTCGCTCTAATTTTTCAATATGTTCAGAAGATTGGAGTTGGGAAACTTTTTGTTGGAGTTCACCGACATTTTTTTTCAATTCTTTAACCAGTGGAAAATTTTCGTAAGTTCGATTTTCTTCCATTTCTTTTAACCATTTTTGCCGGTAATCGCCTTCTTGAAAACTGAAATGCTTTTCAACAATATTTCTTATGTGTTCGTTAATATAACCAAATAGACGTGTCCCTTGGTCAAAATGTCCGTCATTAATCCTTTTGTCGCAATGCGGACAAGGAAAATCCAGTTTATAATCTTTAATTATTTGGTTAATTGCCTTGTTTATTTGTTCTTTGCTTTCTTTTTCGGCTCTATTGTTTAACTCTTGCATATTAAACTATTTTATTATCTATTAGAGATATATATTTGATTTTTTTGAAAAACAAAGCATTGAAAATTAATTTTTTTTAATTTTCCTTTCTTTCCGTTTGTGTGCTTGAATAAACACCGAATTTTCTTATTCTTTCAAATATTTAATAACTGATTGGGCGGCAATGGCTCCCTCGGCTACTGCTGTAACGATTTGCTTAATTTTTTTTTCATTGACCCGGGCTACATCCCCCGCCGCAAACAGACCAGGAATGGAAGTAGAACAATCCTCTTTGATAGTAATATAATTTTCTTGGTCGCAAACACCTAATTCATGGGCGAAACTGCTAAATGGCAAAAGTCCAATACAGGGAAAGACCGCACTAACCAGCAATTCACTTTTTTGGTTGTCTGATAAATTGCGGATAAAAACCTTTTCTACTGCTTTGCCTCCCTGAATTTCAGTTAGAACAGAGTTTAAAAGAAAAATTATTTTGGGATTACTTTTGGCTTTGGCTACTATTTCTTTTTCGGCTCGAAAATCGGCACGCCGATGAATAAGGTAAACTTTGCTAGCGACATTACTCATATACAAAACAGTTTCCAAAGCGGAATAACCCCCCCCTACTACCACTACCTCTTTGCCTCGAAAAAGAAAACCATCGCAAATCGCACAATAGGAAACCCCTAAGTTAGTAAATTCGTTTTCCCCGCTAATTTTTAAGGTATTTTCAATTGCCCCCGAAGCAATAATAATTGTTTTACTAGTAAAAATATTTTCTTGGTTTGTTTTTACAATAAATTTTTGCTCTTTTTTCTCTAATTTTATTATCTCCTCCTCTTTTCACTCAATCTCATAACTTTTAGTATGCTCGGTCATTTTTTCGGCTAATTCAGGACCTTTGATGGAAGTAAAACCGGGATAATTATCGACATCTTCGGTTTTGTTTAACTTTCCTCCCGATAAAGATTTTTCCAAAATTAGGCACTTTAAGAGAGCTCTTTTGGCGTAAATGGCCGCGGTTAGTCCGGCCGGTCCGGCTCCAATAATAATCAAGTCATAATCCATATAAAAAAGTTTTAGTGAAGTTTAGCAAATAGAAAATTTTTTTAATTCTTCTAACAATTTTTTCTTTTGTTCTTGGTAATAACTAAGTTTTTTTCTTTCTTCTTTCACTAAATCGGGGTGAGCTTTATTAAGAAAATTATTGTTTTCTAACCGCCCTTTGCTTCACTCGCATTCTTTTTCATAAAAATTTAATTGTTTTTGTAATTCTGTTTGACTAGTTTTTTGTTGGTATCACAGAACCCCGAAAGGGGGTAAATCGACAAAAGAATTAAATTCAGTTTTTTTCTTTGAAAAAAAAATCTTGCTTTTTACTAAGGGTTGCAAAAATAAATTAAAGTCAAATTCGGGGTCGGTTATTTGCTTTCATTCAGAAGCCAATTCCAAACAAAATTCTTCGGTTTGGCTTTTTTTTTGAACTTGGCGGATACTGCTTATCAGAAGTAGTAAACAATCAATCTGTCAAATTTTATTATTTTTTTTTTCTCCGGAAAGATTTTCGATTTCTGCCTCTAATATCTTTTGGTGAGTGATTTCCTGATATATATATTCAGTGATATAGGGAACTGAGGGGTGAAAGAGAAGAAGTAATTGTTGATAAACAAAAAGGAGTGTGTTTTTGGTGTTTTCATCCCAAGGCGATATTTTTATTAATTCGAGATATTCATTACTTAACTTTTCCCGAGCAAATTTGATAAGTCGGGCAGTAGCCAAGTTAATTTCTTTCCCCTCTAAGAAAAAAAAGTAATCTTTTTGTAAGATGGTTAGTTCATTTAGGATTCAACTATTAACTAGATTTTGGGATTGGTCCATTATTTTTTTGCTTTCTTACGCTTTTTTCAGATTAGGAAGGTTATTCCGAAACCTATGATTGCTACCGCCAATAGGCTAGCAAAAAATATTCCAAAAGGGAATGGTTGGTTTGGCTCTTTTTCGGCAGTTGGATTAGCCTTATTTTGGGAGGATTTTTGAATATTTTTTTGTTGTTCGATGGCTTTATCGATCCGTCCTTCTTGGTTGAGAGTTTGATAAAGAAGTGAATTTTGTTCTTTTTCTCTTGCCAACTTAGCCAAAATTTCAGGGTTGAATTGCTTTTGTTTAATTAATAATTCAGCGGTAATTAATATTTTTAATAAGGCTTGACTTTTTGCCTTTTGTTCGGAATTAGTATTGTTTGTTTTATCTTTATCTTTATCAGAATTATAGTGGTTTTGAATATCAGCAGGGGGAGGAAGAGGATTATTAGGTTTATTGGGGTTAGAAGGGGGATTACCTTTGTTTTGCCCATTAGGATTATTATTTTTATTTTTTGGTTTGAGGTTTTTTGGCGGAGCAGTAGATCGAGGATTATTTTTTTCATATTCTGCTTCTTCTCGGAGTATTTCTTCTATTTCTTTCCCTAATTCCCTAATTAATCCGTCTAATCTCTCGCTTCTTCCAATTTGTCCTCTCTCATAAGATTTTCTCTTTTCCAAGATTTTCTTCTCTGAATTTTTAGTTTCTTCATAATCTTTTCAAATATTTTCTCGATAACCTAATTCACCGATTATTCGATAACCTTCTTTTCAAACAGGAAAATATTCATCAGATGTTTCTAAATTAAAAAAACCAAATTCACTAATTCTTGTTCCCTCTTTCTGATTGACTATAGAAAGTCATGAATTTTCTTCTTCAACTACTTCCCAATCTTCCTTATTTTGTAAAATCATTGAGCAGATTGCTTTTATTATTTCTTCGAAATTACTTACTGCTAATTTGGGAATAAAATAATATTCAGAATAAGGATCAGTAAATTCAATAAAATTACCATCCTCATTCAAAACGTATTCATCTAAGTTATCCAAAATATATTTTTGGTTTTTCTCTTTTTGTTCCAAAGTTACCATAACATTAATATTTTCTGTAATTTAAGATGTTATTTTGAAGTATGTCCAGACCAATAATTACCATCATAATGATTTCGGGAACAATGACAATGATGATTGTTTCATTTATCGCGATATTCATCTCGCTCTTTTTTAGTATTGTTTAATTCTACTCCTCTATCGATGAATTGCCTTTGCAAATTAGCCAATTGTTGTCGGGTATCATTTCATTGTGCTAGCGTGGCATTAAGGCGGTTATCTCGTTCTCTTACATTGTTTTCAAGTCCGTTTATTTTATTATCCTTAGCAGCAATTAGATTATTTGTCTCATTTAGTTGTCTATTTAAATCAGTTATTTGGATTTGATAATTATTTCGTTCAGCCATTAAATCAACCGTCTGCTGATTTTTGGCAGTTAATAAGTTTCTTAAAAATTTTAGACTGTCATTTAATTGATTGATTCTTTGCCTTTTTTGTTTGTTTTTGAATAAAGAACCTAATAGACTTTTTTTTAAACTGTGTTGAAGGTTATCTCTTTCTTGCTGAGTGGTTTGTAAAGTATTATTTAAATCAGTTATTTCAACTTGCAAATTATTGATTTTAGTTTGATAATCTTTTTGGAATTGGGTTTTAGTTTGTTTTTCCTTTATCAGTTCATTTTTTAAATGGGTTAATTTTTGTTCTAATTCAGCGATTTCACTTTGTAAATTAAGAATAGTTTGTTGGTTTAAATTATCTTCTTGGGCTAATTTAGTGATTTGGTGGGATAGATTTTTCTTTTCAGTGCGTAAAGTTTGGGCTTTGCTGAGTAAAAATTTAACTTTATTAAGTTGAGCCGGATTTGATTCAGTTTGAGTGCTTTGATTTTTATTAAAAGGTCTTTGGATAAAGATTTCTTGGGCAGTGATAGTTGTTCCTCCATAAATGGTTTTTCTTTCCAATACAGTAGGAGAAAGATAAACCGGATAAGAAATATTTTCTCCGGCAGTTAAATCTAATTCTTTTAATAGTGTTTGGGGAATATCCAACTGGATTCATTCTCCTTGATAAAAAAATCCATACCTTTGGCAAACCGGTTCTTTTCAACCGTGGGTCGAACACATATAATTTTGGGGCGGAGATTCTAACTTAACAAAACTAGGCGGGATAGGAGTGTTGGTTTTTAAAATATCGGTAGCAGTTAAATCAGTTTGAATGAATTTTTGTTCCACATAAATAGGAATATCATTTTTAATATTAGTGATTTTTGTCATATTATTATCATATTTATATTTAATATAGAAATTACTTCTATATATAATATTTTAGAAAAGAGAGAGTGAGTGGTGTGGTTGTTTATTATTATTAATAATATAAATCGAGCCGGTTTTTTTGAGTAAATTTTAAAAAATTATTTTGTGCTTATTATAGTATGTATCAAAGGCTTTTCTATTTTTCAATCTTTCAACAATTCTCTTTCTCAATATTTTTTGGCCGCTTCTTCTCAATCCGTCTTTCACTCATTTTTCTTTACATACTCATGGATTTTGACCTTTCAATTATTAATTAGTTCTTCATTTTTTTTCATGTTAATAAATCCGTAGGTAAAAATATAGGGAATATCAATTCACTTTCTTTTTACCTGGTCGTAAAAAAGCACTATTAAGACTACTCCTCCTTGGGACATTTTCTCCCTCAATGATAAACAATTATTTAACTCTTCATTTGGAAGCAATTTGCCGTTTAAAACATAATTAGGTTGGGATGGAACTTTGGCCGAACTTAAAAAAAATTCTTTCCCTTTTGCCTCCACTATCTCGCCATTTTCGCATACAAAAACATTTTTGGCGGATAAACCTAATTCTTGGGCCAAAAATCCATGCCTTTTAAGCATTCGAAAATCGCCATGAAAAGGCATGAAATAACGGGGCTTAACCAAGGTAAGCATTAGTTTTAAATCCTCTTGACAAGCATGTCCGGAAGCGTGGAGTAAATCCTCTTTGCTATTTTCATATATTTTGGCTCCCAAAGAAAATAATTTGTTATTTACCTTTTCCACTTGGAGTTTGTTATCCATAATCGGAGAAGAAGTTAAAATAATTGAATCGCCAGCCGCAATTTTTCAGCCTGCATAAACTTGGTGGGCTAAACGGCTCAGCACTGCTCTTTCTTCCCCTTGGGAACCAGTGCAAAAAATTATTAATTTATGGTTGGGAGTTTTGGCAATCGCTTCTGCTTTCAAAAAAATTGAACTATCTATTTTTCATAAACTGGCTTTATTAATTACTTCTATCATGCGAAGCAATGAGGAACCGAGCAACACAATTTTTTTGGAAGTTTTTTTGGCGATTTCAATTACCTTTTTTAACCGGTAAACATTGGAGGCAAAAGAAGTAATAATTACTCGACCGGTGGCTTCGGTAATAATATTTTCCAAACGTTTGACTACCTTCGCCTCAGAAGGGGTGGTGCCTTCTACCTCGGCGTTAGTCGAATCACTAAGCAGCAAATCAACCCCTCTCTTCCCAGTTTCGGCTAATTTCACTAAATCAAATTTTTCTCCAATTTCAGTTCAGTCAAATTTAAAATCGCCGGTGAGAACTAACCGTGTATTATCTTTCAAAACTTCAATTATTAAGCCAAAAGAACCGGGAATAGAGTGAGTTACACGAAAAAAATCAACTCGAAATTCTCCGGTGGTTATAGGCTCATCATGAAAAATGGTGGCACTTATCGTGGTTCCTCCCCGAATTTTTTTCTTCAAAAGCGAAATTGAAAACTCTGAACCATAAATCGGAATAGTCGGAATTAATTGAAGTAAACTTGGAATACCACCAATATGGTCTTCGTGTCCGTGGGTGATAAACAATCCTTTGATTTTAGAACGATTTTCGAGCAAGTAAGCAAAATTAGGAACGGTGCCATCGGCTAAATTGTTATTATTCAAAAACTTAATTCCACAATCGACAATAATTATATCCCCGTTTTTTTCAAGAACATAACAGTTTTTTCCGACCTCATGCAAACCGCCTAGGGCAAATACTTTTAGATTACTATCCATAATGTTTTAAAAGATAAAAAAAAATTAAAAATCAAAATTACATATCAGTCTCTTTTAGTTCCGAACTTCGTAAAATGCTCCAAACTTAAACTGATAAAAATAGTATTAGCAAGTAAAATTTAACTAGAAAACTTTCGACAAGAGAGATAATTTTGTTTGATTAGGTAATCTAATTCGAAAATTAATTTAATAAAGAAAGGTTTAACTAGGGTAAGAAAAGACAAATACTTAATTCTTAACTTGCCGTTACTATATTATTTATTTTATAATTTAGTTGTTCTATATATTGCTTTTTCGATATACTAAATTTCCTCAAACTAACTAGTCTTATCCGACGGAACTAAAAAAACCATTTGGAAACCGTATTAAAAAATTAAGCAAAAAAATAATAATTATTTCTTATTTTTTTATGGCGGGGGTTCAGTAGTTAAAGAATTAACAAAAAACAATAATTATATGAGTGAAAATATTTTTAAAAAAGATTTACCGAAGCAAAAAAAAAACCGATTTGAATTTAATTTTCAAGGCAAAGAAGTAATATTCGAAGTTGACCAACTAGCCAGCAAAAGTGATAAATCTATTCTCTGCCGTTATGGTAATACTACTGTTCTGACAGTTTTAACCATTAAACAACTGACAAAAAACGTTAATTCTTTTTTCCCCTTAACTATTACTTTCGAAGAGAAATTTTATGCGGTCGGAAGAATTCCGAATGCTTTTACTAAACGAGAAGGCAGACCCAGTTATGATGCCATTACAGCAGCTCGATTAATCGACCGCTCTTTACGGAGTTTTTTTCCTATTTCAGGCAACCAAGAAGTTCAGATAACTAACTGCGTTCTATCGGTGGACCAAGAATGCGACCCGCGAATAGTGGCTATCTGAAACTCTTTTCTAGTTTGCTTTTTATCTCCCTCTCTGCCTTATTTCCATACTCCCTTAGCAGCAGTGATTATTAGCCAAGAAGAAAACAATTTTGTTTGTAATTCTAGCAACCAAAAACTAAACAATTCTCCTTTGGAACTAATTGTTAGTGCCACAGAGGAAAAAATTGTTATGCTTGAAGCAGGAGCACAAGAAATAAGTAATGAAGAATTATCAAAAGCAATAAATTTCGCCCATCAACAAATTCAGTTGCTAATTGGTTTTTTTCAGCATATTGCTAATAATTTAGGAATTAAGAAAAAAGGAGCAGAAAAAACAGAAGAGTTAGATATCAAAGTCAAATGGCTAATAGAGAAAATAAATTATCATTTAGGCGAAACGCTTTTAAACCCGAATTTTTCCTGAATAGAAAAAGAAAAAAAAATGAAAGAAACTCGCCAGGATTTAACCAAAGAATACTATGAAAAAAATTCCCAGTTAGAAGAAGCCTTTATCAAGGGTTTCGTCGAGCAAATTTGAGATGAGGGCTTGCGGAATTGAATGCGAAAGTTATGAAAAGAAAAACAAGTGCGTTTAGATGGTCGAAAAGAAAACAAAATTCGTCCCTTGGAAATCCAGATTGATTATTTGCCTAATGTTCATGGAAGTGCGGTATTTTCTCGGGGAGAGACCAAAGTCCTTTCCATAGTAACCATTGGCAAAATCAGTGAAAAACAACTAATTGATAATATTTTCTCTCGCTCTTATAAATATTTTATCCACCATTATAATTTTCCTCCTTTTTCGGTCAACGAAATCGCCAGTTATCGTAGTGTTTCACGTCGAGAAATCGGTCATGGTGAATTAGTGGAAAAATCTTTTGACTATTTAATCCCCCAAAGCAGTATTTTTCCTTACACCATAAGGGTAGTTTCGGAAGTTCTCTCCTCGGATGGTTCTTCTTCGCAAGCCTCAATTTGCGCGACCTCTTTGTCTTTAATGAGTGCCGGAGTTCCTTTAATTAGACCAGTTGCCGGAATAGCCTTAGGGCTATTTGAAGGTCAAATTTATACTGACATTAATGGTTTAGAAGATAAGTTGGGAGAAATGGATTTTAAAATTGCTGGTACCGAAAAAGGTATCTGTTCGATACAATTAGACGTCAAAAATCACGGAATTAGCCTTGAACTATTAAAGGATTGTTTAGAAAAAGCCCGCCAAGCCCGCCTCTATTTGATAGAGGAAATGAAAAAATATATTTTTCATCCTCGTCGAACTTTGTCAGCACAGGTTATTAAATGCCGACGATTTTATGTCGGAGCGGAAAAAATTGGATTAGTTATTGGACCCCGCGGTAAAACTATTAACCAATTAACCGAAAAAAGCGGTGCCACTATTGAGGTTCAAAACGACGGCTACATATTAATCTATCACCAAGAAGAAGCAGAATTAGAAGCAACCTATCAAGCCATTCAAAATATAATCAGAGGAAGGTAGAAAATAACCATGGAAAATAAAAGAAAATGTTCCAAATGCCAAAAAGAATTAGTTTCGGGAAAATTCTATAATTTTTACAGTGGCAAAAAAGGCGGTATTTTTCTCGGAACATACAGAGAAAGGAAGATTTTTTGTTCTTCTTGTGCCGAAAAAGAAAAGGAAAATGATATTCTTTTTCGCGAAAATTTAATTAAAATTTCATGAGAAGTAGGAAATAAACTTGATGAAGCAATATTAGATTTCGAACAAAAATGAATAAATTTTCAATATGAAAATAGTGTAAGGATTAACAATGAAGAAACTAATTTGACCCTTGATTTTATCCAAAAAAGTAAACAAATATTCCAACCCTACCTTAAAAGACTGGATGTGGTGGAGAAAAGTTTTGGAGGAAAAATTGAAGGGCGGGGTAAACCCGAAATGAAGTTCGATTACTTATTTACTAAATCAGCCCTCGATAGGAATTATTGTAAGGCAGTAGTTAAGCCGACTATCGCCGAGGTTTTGGGAGGAAACCCTAACCAAGAAATTAACACTACCAATGTTGGTGCCTCGCCGGGCGTTCCCGGGAGAACAGCCGGAATTTGACAAGTTGACGATAAACTTAAAATAAATTATTCTTGAAATGACGGTCCAAAAAGAATATGTAGGAGGATAAGTTTGCTTTTTTACGACCAAAAATTAGCCCTCCAATCTCTCTGTCGAGCCTTAACCATTAAAGAAAAAGAATTAGGAGGAGATAATTTACCACCCGAACCTAATACTAAAATTTGCGCTACTTGCAATAAGGATATTTCTAATCAAGAAACGACTTTCAACAGAGATAAAGATTCCGAACATGAAAAGAGATATTTTTGTTCTGCTGAATGTCTCACAAAAAGTTACCATAAAAAATCCCCCAATACTTCCAACCAAAACCAAAATAAAGGAATGTCAACTGGCTTAAAGGTATTTTTAGGGATAGGAATAACCTTAATAATTTTGGGCGGGATAGTCTTTTTTTGAATGAAAATTATTAAAAAAAGGGTTAATTAAATTTTTGTTTTTATATCACCTTAAATATTTCCTCTCATTTTTTTTCTTTAATTTCCTTTTCTCAGACATTTTCATTTTGGGGATATCCAGCCGTAAAAATAACTGCTAAATGGTAATAATCAGACAGAATATAACTATTTTTTTCGCAATAGTTAATAATTTCTGTTTCTTGAAAACCACCCATCGGACAAGTAGCAATATCAAGGGAAGTAAAAAGCAAAAGAAAATTTTGTAAAAGAATAAAACATTGTTGTTTGGCTCGCTCTGGATTTAAACGAGTTTTTTTGGCACTAAACAAAAAAAATAAATGCGAACATTCTAAAACTTGCTGCTGTTGGTTAACCAAAGGGTACAACTCCTTCTTAACTTTTTCACTGCCAATAACCAAAATAAATCAGGGTTCAATGCCAAGCCAAGAAGGTGCCCGACAAGCAATTTTAATTACTTCTTCTACCAACTGGGAAGAAATTTTTTGGTTTTGGTAGTGGCGAACAGCCTTCCGTTGGGAAATTATTTGGGTTAGGGATTGAAATTTATTCACTTAATATCTCTTTTTCTTTAAAAGGAAAACCTAATAAACTTAAAAAGTAAATGTTCTCCTTAGTCAAAGCAGATTTAAAAACAATGGTAATTTGCATTCCTTGGTTTTTGAAAGTTAAATCGTAAGGGACAGTCGGAAAAATATTTAAATTATCTATTCCAAGGCTGTAATTTCCAGCCCAATCAAATTTCTTAGTTGAAACGCCTTGAAAGTTAGAAATACAAGGCAAATCTATATTTATCAGTTCAAAAAGAAAATTTCAAGCCTTTTTTTTTCTGAGGGTTACTTTACAACCAATTTCCATTCCTTCCCGTAATTTAAAAGTAGTAATAGATTTACGAGCATAAGTTAAAACCGATTTTTGACCTTGGGCGATTCGGGTTAAGGCAGTTTGGGTTTTTTCCAAAAATTTCTTGTCTCCAATGGCTTGACCGACTCCGCTATTAAGCACTATTTTTTCAATGTCGGTAGTTTGCATAGGCGAAGAATGTTGAAATTTTTCTTGGACTAATTTTTTAACTTCTTTTCTTTTGGTTTCTCACCAGTTATTTACGATAAGCATATATTATTTTTTATTCTTCTTTTTCTATTTCCGGGGCAGTTTTTTTCTCCATAATTAGGCTGTCAACTTTAAATGAAATTAGCATATCACCAGTTTCTTTTCTCCATTCGCCCCTTATCCTTTTTATTTTTTCTTGTGTGGCAAAGAAAAATAATTTTTCCAAGAAAGCCGAATATTCGCTATAATTTTCTTTTCCAAAAAATTCTTTCTTTGTATTTTTTTTAGTTCTTGGATAATATTCGGTAGTTAAACCGGTAGGGTAATATTGAAAGGAAGTTAGATTTTTTGTATTTTTGGCTTCTATATTAATGATATCAAAATATACTCCGACTCTAAAAGTAAAAGAAACAAACCAATACTTTTCCATAAAACTCCGAATAGTTTCCGGAGTTATTTCAATTTTTTCAACTAACTTTTTTCATTCGCATTCGAGGCAAAAATTACCTCTTTCTTGGCTGATAATTTCTCGACCGCACTGGTTACAATTTCATTTCATTATCTAATTTGTTGATTATATTTATTCCTGTTTTTTTTTTTTTTTTTGCTCCACATAAATACTACTGCTACTAATACTATTGCTAGCAAAATGATTGGTAACACATAGGCTCAGGGGAAGTTGGAGTTGGGATTATGGTTGGTAAGGGGTTGACCTTGGTCTTTCAAACTATTATCTAATTGGGTAATTAGGCTTTGCAGTTTAGTTTTTTGGGATTTATAAAGAGTGTTAGTTAGTAAAGTAGTTAGTTGGGTTTTTAGTTTTTGCTGTTCGGTTTTATTTTTGCTTTGGATTAGTTGGTTTACTTGGGCAGTAAATTCAGTTACTTTTTTAGTTACCATTGCGGTATCAGCGGCTTGCTTAATAAAATCAGCGGCTTGGTTTATTTCTGCTCCGCTGGTTTGGCCTGCTTTTAAAGCGGCTAGTTTGGTTTTGCTAGCATCATCTAAATCAGTTTCAGAAATACCATTGGCGGTTAGTTTAGCGGTGATTTCGCTGATTACCCTTTGCCGGTAGGCAGTATCTCCCTCTAACTCTTGGATTTTAGTATTTACACTTTGGATTAGAGTGCTAATTTCAGTGGCGGACACTCCCGCTGCTTCTAAGCGGCTTTTTAAACTTTCTAATTCAGTTTTAGCGGCCTGTAATTGGGCTTTATCGCCACTACTGATAGCGGCATTGGCTTTATTTTTACTAGCCGTAATTTCTGCGGCAGTGGGAGCGGTGGGGGTAGGAATAGTGGGGTCGGGGTCTTTACCTTTCCCATAAATTTCTTCTTCAATTCCTTCATATATTTCTCCTAATCTGTCATCTCCTATTTCTTGTTCTATTTCTTGTAAAATTAATTTTGTCTCTGGTTGCAATTGAACTTTATTTTGTAAACTTGTTGCCAGAGCCGGGTTTGACGATTCTAATGTATTAAGTCTAGTTCTTAATTCCCCCTCACTACAATCCGGACAAACTTTAACCCAACCAATATGGTATTGTTTACCTCCCTTTTCGCTCAAATAACCCGAAATTGTCTCTCCAAATTTATTCACTAATTCCAATTCCGCTGAACTGAGTTTAGTTTCGGATAGTATTTGGTCGATTCGGTCCCGAAATTCAACCGGAACTTTATCTTGTAATTTTTGAAGACCTAGATGAAGGTTTTTTCACGCAGTTATTGATGGAAAAAAAACAACGCCTTCTCTCACATCTACTTCCTTTTGGCAAACCGAACAAATTTTTCCCTCCTTTCTTTCCGAACAACTTAGGCATTCATCGCCTTTTCTTTCCGCTGAATTATTACAATCCAAAAAACCACATTTTCTCATAATTTTAATATTTATTAATTTATTAATTTATTTTTACCTTGTTTATCTTTAAACTTTCGAGAAATCCGCACTTTCACTTTTTCATTTTTTTCACCCTTTTTTATTTCTACTTCTTGCCAACCAATTTTAGTAGTTTTCTTTTTTTCCTCTAACCAATAAGCCACATTCGAAATATGAAGGGGGGTCATAATTTCTTTTAGTTCACTTTTTTTCTTGTTCTCGGGGGTCGATTTATCGTATTTTTTTCGGCTGACTTTTTTCAAATAAACTGTCTGCTTACGAGGGTCAACTTGCGAAATAAAATCAATCGTCCCGCGGTGTTTACCACTAATAACTTTTACTTTGTCGCCACTTTTTAATTTTGTCTTCATAATTTATTATATATATATTTTTAGATTTTATTGTGCTATTAAACAGCCTATTTTAGAACCAAAACTTTAAAATGGGATAAATTATCTATTGCCTAAAAACTTATTTATTGCTGTAAAATTAGAATTATAATGGTTTATATTAATAACTGCACTTATAGTTCAGGGGATAGAACGTTTGAATGCGGTTCAAAAGGTCGGGGGTTCAAATCCTCCTAAGTGCACCAAATCCATTTAAAAATAGCAAAAATTATGGGAAAACAAAAAATTATTTCAGCGATAAAAACTTTTCGAAATGAGGTAAATAATAAACTTTTGCCTGGAAAAGACCGTGAAAAAATAACGGCATTTAATAAAAGAGTAGAAAATGTCATTGAAAAATTATCTTCTGACAACTTTGAGGATTTTAGAGAAGAAGGACAAATTAAAATTATTAGATTAAAATTAGAAACTTGCATTGAAGGTTTAGAAGCAACGATATCAGAAAAAAAAACCACGAATATTATTGAAAACGAGGCCAAAAATATCCTTAATTCAAATGGTTTTAACTATTTTGATAACCCAGAACAAGAAAAAAAAAGCAAAAAACTTGCCTCAGTTTTTTTAATAAGGGAAATTATAAAGGATTTGTTTACTTTTTCAGAAGAAGAATGAATAAGTAATTTAAAAAAATGTTTTAAACCGATTGAAAGTGAATTATCAAACTTACCTCCCGCAAGGGGAAAAGAACTAGAAAATTTGCTTTTTGCTGCTACTATACGCGATTTTTCTTTTGACCCCCAAAGTAATTTAGTTCAAACCAAAGCCGAGAAAATTTTTCAGAAAGTTAAGCGGTTTAATCAAATAAAAGCAAACCAAATAGAAAACAACAACAAAGAACTTTTAAAAAAACAAATCTCTGAAATTTGGCAAAGTCTAAGTTATATTAAAGCACTAGGCAAGCAACTTGAATTTAAGTTTTTTGATAATAAAAATGAAATTTTAGAATTAAGCGAAAAAATAGGTAGTATTTTAACGAGTTCACGCCCTCTAATAGAAGGAGAATATGATGAAGACATTGAAGAAATTAGTATCCTCCCGCTAATTTATTGAAAAGAAAACAATAATTACATTATCCCACTCAAATCCTCTACTTGTGAAATTAATATTAAAAAATTCAAAAAAGATGGGAAAAATAAGCCTCCTAAACCGGAACTTAGTGAAATAGAAGGGTGAGAAAACTTGTCTCCGCAGGACCAAGAAAATTTTTCCCTAGCTTATGAAAACGGGACAAAAAATTTCGCCCAAATAAAATTAGAGATAGAACAAAAATTAGCTTCTGAAAAAAATCAAAATCCTCCCAAAAATTTCACTGAATTTAGCCAAGAAGCCGAACAAGAAGCCCGGCAAAAAGAAACTCAAACCGAAACTGAACTTGATGAGGAAATTAATCAGACTACTACTAACCTTGACGATGAATTAAAAAAAATCTCCAAACTCGACCAAAAGGTCAATGAGAGAAAATATGAAGAACGTCGTCGAGAAATTGAACAAATAAAGAAAAAAGCGGCTCAGGAAGATGCGATAAAAACTAGCCAAGTTCTAGCCCGAAATTTAGAAGCCCAAATGAACGCCAACGAAGTCGCCTTGACTGAATTAGAAATTTCAATCAAAGAAAAATATAATTTTTTGAAAAGCGGTCAAATTAAAGACCCCCAAGAAATAGTTAATTCCGAAAGACAAATCAGCCAAGCAATTGGAGAAAAGGGCAGCACTAAGCGGTGGGAAAAATTAACTAAGCGTGCTGAGAAACTTCTCCAAAATTCTCTTTCCGAAAAAGCAGACCTCGACCAACTTTTAAGAGATTTAATATTATTCAGCAAAAGCACTAACATTTGAGACCAAAATATCTCAAAATCGAAACACTGAAATAAATTAAAAAATCAACTAGAAAGTGCTTTAAATAGTCAGGGTCAGAATAGTCATTTTCCTTGGAAAATAGTTCTGCCGTTGGTTTTTGGTTTAATATTTATAATCGTAGTTGGTATAGCAATATTAAAAAAAAGAAGGCATTTTCAAAAACATAAAAAAATGGGTTAAATTTTTCCCGAAAAAATTAGATAAATCCTTTTTGTCAAATGTAAACCCACCAGCAATTAATTCCCTTTTTTTTGGTGAATCTATTGTAAATCTCGCCAAAATTGGAATAATTGAATATATTCGGCAGGAGTTAGATTTTGCGGACGGATTTGGGTAAGATAATTATTTTCCGTCAAATATTTTTCTCACTCTTTTTTATAATTTCCGGCGAAACTGAGAAGATTATTTAATAAAGTTTTCCGGCGAAAGCGAAAACAATTTTTCAAAAAACGCAAGAAAATAATTAATTGCTCTTTTGAAATATCAATATTTTTATGGGGTTTAACTATTACCAGTGTCCCATCCACCTCCGGAGCAGGAACGAAAACTTGCGAAGGAATCTCCAAGGCAATTTTAGTTTCCGCTAAATAATTAATCAAAACTGACAAGGAAGAATAGTTTGAAGAATATTTATTAGGACTAGCCACTCATTTTTGCCCGACTTCTTTTTGAACCAAAAAAATTAGAGATTTAAATAAACGATAATTAAATAATAAATCAACTATTAAAGAATTAGTTATATAATAAGGCAAATTACCAACAATTATTAATGAACTGTCTTTGTATTGAGAACAAAAATCCGCTCAATCAATTGTCAAAGCATCTTGTTTAAGATAAATAATTCTCTCACTTTTATTATTTTTCACTAACCACTGAAATAGGTTTGAATCCTTTTCAACGCCTATAATTTTTTGACAATCGGTTTCGGCGAGTAAATTAGTTAAGTTTCCATAACCGCTACCAACTTCAATTATTACTGAATTAGTATCTATCGAACAGCAATCAACTATTTTATGAAGATAATTTTTATCGAAAAGAAAATTTTGCCCTAATCCTTTATTAGGTAGAAAAGGTAATTTTAACGGCGGGTTCTTTTTCATTCGCTGAGGCAGAAAAAGTTTAAATTAAATTATTTTTGTTTATTTTGGTTGGTGAGATAACTTGCTAAGTAATAATCCGAAAATATAATTTTGTGAAAATAAAGTCAGTTAACTTTGATTTTGTATAACACAGCGGAAAAAATTAATATTCTTTTTCCGCTCTCGCCTTACTTTTTTTAGAGTATTTTTCTCTTTCAACTAGTCCCGTGCCAACCGGAATTAATTGTCCGGCAATCAAACTCTCTTTGCTTCCCCTCAGATAATCGACTGGTTGATACAAAGAATAATTAACCAAACTTTTTAAAGTGTTTTGAAAGGAAATCCCGGCCAAGAAAGAATCAGGGTGAGAGGCTAAATCTTTTAGGCTTAAAACAATGTTTTTGAAAGCAACCGGTTTTTTTTTGCTAGCCGTTAAAGACTGGTTAACCTTTTGGAGGTGTTGATAATTTACTATATCGCCAATTAGATAATCGCTATCGCCGTTATCTATTACTTCTACTTTGGATAACATTTGACGGGTAAATATTTCAATGTGCTTCTCGTTAATATCTATCCCCTGACTACTATATACATTTCTAATCTCCTCTTTGATATAATCTTGACAAGCATCCCGTCCCATAATTTCTAAATAATCTTCTAAATCGACCTTTCCGGTGGTGATTTTTTCGCCTTTTTTTACCTCGTCCCCTTCGTTAACTTTGACTATTTTTTCCTCACTAATCTGGTAAACTTTTGTTTCCTCCCCTACCTGCTTGATTTCTTTTTCCTCAATACTAATTATCTTTCCATCAATTTTAGCCAAAATAGCTTTTTCTTCTTTTTTGGGCTTAATATTGTCGAGCACTTGTTTCACTTTTGGTAAACCTTGGGTAATGTCTTCCTCCTCACCGGCTATTCCCCCCACGTGGAAAGTTCTCATAGTTAACTGGGTTCCCGGTTCACCTAACGATTGAGCCGCAATTATTCCTACTGCGGTTCCAATTGCCACTGTTTCTCCCAATTTGCTTAAATCTAATCCATAACATTTTTGACAAATTCCGTCGGCTAATTCGCAGGTTGCCGGAGAACGCACCCACGCCGAATTAATTTTACTTTTTTGAATAATTTCAATTTCTTTTTCTAATAGGAGAGTGTTGCGAACTAGAAGAGGAGTTTTTTTATCCAAAATATCCTGGGCTAAATAACGACCATATATTCTCTCAACTAAGGATAATTCGCTGGTTTCCTTTAACAATTTACCGGCACTAGTCTGACAATCAGAAGCAATAATAGTTAGACCCTGGCTTGATTCTACCAATCTTCGGGTTAGGTCGCCGGCAGCAGCGGTTTTTAAAGCAATATCAGTCATTCCTTTAATTGCTCCATAAACCGAAGTAAAAAATTCGAAAGGCGATAACCCTTCTCGAAGGGAAGAAATAATGGGAGTTTCGATAATTTCTCCTAAATAGTTAGTAGTATGTCCCCGCATCGCAAAAAGTTGGGTCAGATTTTCACTACTAGCCCTTGCTCCGGAGTCTCAAATATGATAAAAAGAAGTATCCTTTTTCTTTTTTAAATCATTAATTAGTTGTCCCTGCAAATAGTCTTTACATTCTTCCCAAACCGCAATTTTCTTTTGTTTGCTTTCCTCTTCGGAATAGTATCCTTGTAGATAATGTTCGTCTATTTGTTTAATTTTCTTTTCAGATTGTTGAATTTGTTCTTTTTTAGAGGCTATTTCGGCTAATTCAAAAAGCGAAATACTGATTCCGGATTTAGTAGCGCAATCAAAACTAAGTTTTTTCAATCGGTCAAGAAAATCAACCATTTCCTCCTGCGGAGTTATTCTTATTAATTTATTTAGAAAACCAATAATATCTTTCTTTTTTCACCCTTGTAAAGGCACATAATTTTTTCAACTTTCTTGAATCTTATTTATTTCAACCGCCGATGGTTGATTTTGTTCTTCTGCTTCATTATGTCATTGCTTTAAATCATTGAGATAGAAAGGGAAACTAGGAGGTAAAATTTGATTAAATCTTAATTTTCCTAAGGTAGTGAAAATAAACTGGTTTTTGGCAGTAGCAAAATTACGACCAATGAGGCTAGTCGGAATAACAATTAAGTCATGTAAACTTAATTTGCCTTGGTCGTGGCTTCTTCAAATATTACCTATTTCATCAAAAAAAATCGGGTTCTCTTGTTTATTTTCTTTGCTTAGATAATAAATTCCCAAAATCATGTCCTGACTGGGAGCATCTATTAAAAAGCCGTTTTTTGGATCGATAAGATGGTGAGAAGACAAAATGCGTTCCTTAATTTCCTCGCAAGCCTTTTTGGTTAAGGGTAAATGAATGGCTATTTGGTCTCCGTCAAAATCAGCATTTAAAGGAGTAGTTATTAAGGGATTAAGTTCAATTGAATTCCCGGTAGTTAATTTAGGATAAAACCCTTGGATACTGAGTCTATGAAGGCTGGGAGCCCGGTTAGCTAAAACAGGGTGTTCCTGGATAATTTTGTCGAGCAAAGAAAAAACAACCGGACCTTTATTTAACCATATTTTTTCGGCTTCTTTAACCGTAGAAACGATTTTTTTTTTTAGTATTTTTTGGATAATAAATGGTCTGTAAAGAATTAAGGCCATTCTAACCGGTAAACCAATTTGAGTTAGCAATAAATTAGGATTTGGGACAATCACCGAACGAGCCGAATAATCAACTCTTTTTCCCAAAGAGTGACGCCGCATTATTCCATCCTTACCACTTAATTCTTGTAATAAACCTTTGACTTTGTTTTGAAAACTGGGCGAACCTTGTAGTCATTGGTCGACCGCTTTTTGTAAACTCCTTTTTGATATGTGAACAATATCAGCAAAAAAAATTTTCTCTTGCCAACCTTCACTTTCTTTTTGATACTCATTAATCCGTTTCTTAGCCAAAATCACCCTTTGCAGCAGATTATTTTTTTGGGTAGTAGCAATGGTATTTTCCTCTTTCAATTTAGTTACTGGTCGTAAACCGGAGGGTATTACAGGCAAATAACGCATAATTATCCATTCTAGTTTTAGTTCCTGGTCTAGAAGAGAACGGAGAAATTTTATTTTTTCGTGGTGAACTTTGGAGGAAGATTTAAGGTTATTCTTAACTTTTTCTAATTCTTCGACCAAATTGACTTCTTTCAATAATTCTTCAAAGGCTTCCGAACCGATACCGATTTTTATCTGCCGGTATTTTTCCATGAATTCAAAATAATCCTCTCAAAAGATAATTTGCTCAATTCCTGAATCTTCGTCAACACTATCTTCCGAAAGATTTTTAATTAGTTCCTGAGCCTGATTAATGATTTTAGCATTGGCTTCTTTTTGGCTCTTACTAACCGAGTTTTCTCGTTCAGTAATAATTTCTTGTAAAATATTTTTTATCAACGAAAGGTCAATTTTTTCTTTGTCTCAAACTTCCTTTTTTTTCAATAGTTTAGTTAATCCATTATCAAGCACAACATAAGCTCGAAAATAAATTATATCTTCTAACTTTTTAGTTGGAATTTCTAATAATTTGCTTAGATTAGTAGACAAAACCTTGAAAAGTAAAATATTAGTTACGGGTGTGTCGAGTGAGATATGACCCATTCGCCACCGCTGGATATTTTTTTCGGCGATTAAAACTTCACATCGTTCACATTTTTGTCCCTTGTTGTCTTTGCCTTTATATTTTCCACAAAAACATTCATAATTAAGGAAAGGTCCGAAGATACGGGGGTCAAAAAGCCCGCCTAATTCTGGTTTAAAAGTTCTAATATTTACCGTCTTGCTACTTTCAATCCTAAAATTGTCGTCAGCGAAGGAAATTTCTTTAATTCTTTGAGGCGAAAGCCAACTAATTTTTAATGATTTTATTAAGGGCATATTTTTTTAATTATTTTTTTCTAATGTGATGGTTAAAAGATTCATAAAAATCAATTTCTCGTCCTTGGTGGTCGGTCGCTTGAAGGTCAAAACCAATTCCTCGTAAATATTGAAGCAAGAGGTTAAAGGATTCGCTTTGACTGCTTCGAAGGTCAATTTGACGGTCATCAAATATCAAGGCACTTTGGGCCAATCTTCGTTGATGAATATCATCCGATTTTACACTCATCATTTCCATTAAATTCCAAGCTGCTCCATGAGCCTCCAAAACCCAAACCTCCATTTCCCCCACCCTTTGTCCGCCGAGTTGAGCCCTACCTTTGAGAGGTTGCTGATAAATCAAGGAGTAAGGACCGACATTCCGAGCGTGAAATTTGTCAACTACCATGTGGTTTAATTTAACCACATAAATATAACCGGTGAAAATATCTTGTTGAAAAGGTAAACCAGTTTGACCGTCAAATAACTTACTCATTCCTCAGTTTTTTATTTTGGCTTCTTTCATAATTTCTTGAATGATTTCTAAATTCAAAGTGTTAAAAGGTCGGACCAAAAGTTTTTCGCCAAGTTGGTGAGCGGCTGAGGCAAGCATAGTTTCTAATAATTGACCGAGGTTCATACGAGTAGGAATACCCAACGGATTGAAAATTATGTCAATAGTTTTCCCTTCCTCATCAAAGGGCATATCAACCTCTGGAACAATTTTAGCCACTACCCCTTTATTACCAAAGCGAGTAGTTAGTTTATCCCCTACTTCTAACTTTCTCTCGCAGAAAACATAAACTTCCACTAATTCTAATTCATCTTTTTTTTTCATTATTTTTTTAGTTTCTACTGCGTAAACTGTTCCTTTCTCTCCGGCTGGTAAACGAAGCGAAGAATTAAAAAATTTTTGGGTTTTTTGTCCTAAAAGATTCAACAAAAGCATTTCTTCCTCACTCTCTTTATTTAAAAACGGCTCCGGAGTAATTTTGCCGACTAAAATATCACCACCCTTCACTTCACTACCGATTTTTACTAGACCATTTTTATCCAAGTGAGGGAGAGGGGCAGGCAAATTAGGAGCAGGAGTAAAAACTTCCGGACCGTGCTTAGTATTATATCGAATAATTTTGTACTTTTTAACGAAAAGGGAAGTTAAAATGTCCTCTTTAATTAATCTGTCGCTAACCACAATCGCATCTTCATAATTATAACCATTCCAACACAAATAGGCTACCCGTAAATTATAACCCAAAGATAATTCTCCTTGGTTAGTATAACTTCCGCACGCAATTATTTGCCCTTTTTTGACTTTTTCACCCTGCTTTACTAAGGGAAGAGAAAAATTAAGTATATTCTTATTTGAAACTACTGATTGACTTAGTTTGTAAGTCCTTTCTCCTTTATCATTTTCTTTAATGATGATTTGCTGATTGTCAACATATTCTACCTTTCCGGCTTCCTCAGTTTCAACAGTTAAAGAAGAATTATTCGATAAAGCAGATTCCAAACCACTGGCAACCAAAGGGGCTTCACTCTTCAATAAAGTTACGGCTTGCCTTTGCATGTTAGAAGACATTAACATTCTAGTGGCGTCATTGTGTTGAAAAAAAGGAATAGTAGCACTAGTAACTGAATTTAATTGATAAAAAGAACTATCAATATAATCTACTTTTTCCTTAGTTACTAACTTAAATTCTCCTCGGTGACGAACCGGCACTTCTTCTTCCAAAATCCTATTTTTCTCATCAATTTTTATATTACAATGGGCAATGTGCTTATCCCATTCCTCTTCGCTGTTTAAGTAATCTAATTGAGAAACAACTACCCCGTTTTTAACCAAATAACAGGGGATAATTACTTGTCCGTAATCGTTTATTTTAGTCCCGATGGCCAGATTATGAATTAAACCGACTCTTTGTCCTTCCGGAGTTTCCACCAAATCATAACGGCCATAATAAGAAGGGTTAATGTTTCGAGCAGCCAAAGTAGTATTGGATGAACTAAAACCCCCCAGTCCTAAAACGCTTAACTTGCGAGCATAAGAGATTTCGGACAATGGATTATTTTGATTTTGGAGTTGAACCAAAGGTGAAGAATTAAAAAAATAAATTTTTAATAGGTTGTTAAATTCTTTTAAATCAGGTATTTTTGATAAATCAACTTTCTTTAACTGAGAGAGATAATTAGTAACATATTTACTGCCTAGACTTTGTAAATAACCACCTAGTTTATTTTCAAATACACTATAAACCAAATCTCCTACTCGGCGAACAACTTGATTTTCTAAATTATCTTTTTCCTCTTCTTTCGCTTTTTCGCCTAAGCCATGGTGCAAATTAATATAATTAGAAATAGTACAAACTAAATCAGCCAAGTCAAAATAAGTTTTTTCTTCGGACAAATCTTCGGCTATACCGACCACAAACAAAGTTCTTGCTGGATTTTGCGGTGCTTTTATTTTAATAACATATAAATCGTTAGTCGAGTGGGGGATATTAATAGCAGGTATTTTTTTCTTTTGTAGAGCATTCTGTAATAATTGAAAGTTTTTACCAGTTAAAACCGAGTTTTTTTTTAAAATTAATTTTTGAGTGCTGTCATATAAATTATCGGCTAACTCTTGGCCTTCTATTTGCCGAAGAATATTAGTTTTTTGATTATACTTCTTTCGTCCGAGTTTGCCGAAATCAAAATAAGAATTTCTTTTCATAAACAAGAAGCGAGGTAAGGTTTTTCCTACTTCTAATGGGTTGGCTTTCGGATAGTCTTCAATATTTATTTCCTCCTTACTAAACAATTTTTCCAAAATTTCCAAAGAGACATCAAAAGTCTTGAAAATATCAAGTGAATTAATAACTAATTCAGAATTGAGAAATTTTAATTCAATAATTTGGGGAGTTTTAATATTGCGATAAACACTAATTCAAGGTCCTTTAAAAGGAATAATTTCGCCGTAAAATTTGCTTTTTTCCCCATCAAAAAAATAGACCGAAGGAGCACGAACCGACTGAAAAACAACTACCTTATCATGTCCGTTAATAATAAAATTTCCTTGTTTAGTCATCCGTGGCAAATTACAAAAATTTACTCTTTGAATTTGTTTACAATTAAATCCGATAATTAATTCATTCTCGGTCTGCTCTAATATTCCTATCTTTATTTTTAATCTTTCATTTTCAATTTCTTTATCTTTTCCCTGCTTAGACTTTTTGGATTGAATTTCTGTTTCTTCTATTTCTCATTCTTGATATTTACTTTTCTCCAACATTTTAATTTTGTTTTCTAAATGTCAGATAGTATTTTCTTCCTCCCTTTTTGGTTGCTTGTTGTTTTGCTGTAATTCTTGCAACTGCTTATTGGTTTCAGTTAGCAAAGATTTTAATTCAGTAGTTGAAAACGATTTCTTTTTACAAGTAAATTTCCTAATTTTAAAACCTTCCTCTACCCACTGAATAATGCTCTTTTCGAAGTCGTTATCTATCAACTGAATCGGGATTTTTTGGCAGTCTCAACGAACGCTTCAATTAAAAGATACCAAATAATCTCAGGTAAGGGAATTATTTCTTGCTTCCTCCTCGCTAAGTTCAACTTCGACTTCTTTACCCTTAATTTCTTTTTTAAAACTTAACTCCTCACGCTTTATATCTTCAACGTTTATTCAGACACTATTATTATAATCGCTGAATTCAAACGGAAAGTAAAAACTTAACAATTTTGGTAATTTTTCCTCCAAAAAAAAATGATAAGATTTTTTTTGTTCCTGAGCAAAATCCCACTCTGGAAGGGGCTGAAAAAGTGGCGAACGGTTCAACAAAAGATACTCTCGACGCTGATTTTTTCCTGAATTGACTAGGCGATATGATACCATTTTAGATTTTAATAAAATTATTTAACTTCGCTTAATTCTACTTCAACTCCAACTTCGCTTAGTTCCTTTTTAGCAATTTCGGCTTCTTTTCGAGCAACTTTTTCCACAATAACTCTTTCTCCTTCTTCGGCCAGTTTTTTGGCTTGAATAACGCTAATGTCTTGACCTTCATCTTTTTTTAGTTTATTAACTAAGGCTTGGATTGCTCCATAAATTTTTATTATACCTAATCCTTTATCTTTTTTTATTTCCGTTACTCTAATCGAAACATTACTATCTGTTTCGACTTTTTCACTAGTTTCTGCCGGGGCAGCATTAGGCTGAACCATAGCAGTCTCTTGGATGTTAAAATCTACTTTTAAACCTTCGATTAATTCACTCACTTGTCCCAAATTTAACTTTTTTATATCTTCTTTAATTTCGCTGACTGTTTTACTATTTTTTATTTCTGACATATAGATTTATTGCTGATTGTAATTTACTATTTTATTAATTAATGTATTCTCTGACTTATCGGTCTAATCCTTATCCTCCACGTCTCTAATCTTATTATCTAATTCTACTTCTTTCGCTAACTTTCATGCTAGTTATTCGCTTCCCTCTCTCGCCCCATCCTGCTGCTTTAATTGCTCTAATTCAATCGATAATTGGATTCTACCTTTCATATATATTATTTTATTAATTAATTTGTTTCTTTGGCGGTTTTGATTTTTTCTAAAATGTTAATTAGTCTTCGGGTGTGAAAATTGAGATAATAACACAAAGTAATGATTAATACTTCTTTACTTGGCAATTCCGCTCACTTTTCCAACATATTACTTTCCACTATCTTTTGCTCGTAGATACCGACTTGAAAGCGTTTAATATCAGCATGCTCTTTATTAAATCGATTAAGAATACTTAATGGCTTATACTCATCCTCTTGGCAAAATATAAGAGCATTGGCTTGTTGTAATTGGAGAGGATAATTCGCTAATGCCTTTTTTACTAAATTATTTTTATAAACTTTTCAATGACCTCCTACTTTTTTTAATTCTTTTTTTAGTCGGAAAATATCTTGGTTCTCGGCAAAGTGAAAATTGTAAAAAATAACTGCTTTGGCTTGTTGAAAGTCATTTTTAATGTTTCGAGCAATGACTTGCTTTTGGCTGGAAACAGGCATATATATATTATTTTAGGGACTATTGGAGGATATTGTGTTAAACTAGAAAATAATAAATATCCATTTTATAGACTTTTTAACTAACTAATGCTCTTTCTTTTTCCGCAACAGATAATAAGTAATTAATCCAAAAACAATTGCTAGAACTACAATTACCACTAGCACTATTAATAGAACATAACTCTTTCCGCTTCCATCGCTGGGGTATCCGTTGCTGGGTAAATTTCACCCCCCCCCCCCATCTCTTAAAGAAAGAGGTAATTCACCGTATTTTTCTCTATACTCTGCTTCTGCCTCGGCTAATTGTCTTTCCAGTTCTTGGACTTGATATTCGTCATAACTGGGATGATTTCGCATGGATTTTATTCTTCTTAGGGAGTATTGATAACTATTTATTTTTTGTTCTAAATCTCTTTTATCTCTTTCTCTTTCGCATGTTTTACAATTCTGACCATCATTTAAAAAACTACCACTACCAATATTATTTCCGCATTCGCTACATTTGATTATTCTTGTCATAATTTTCTTATATTATTATTTTTCATTCAAGTATTCAAGGGTATTCAATTGTAAAACTATAAACACTTTCACCAAAAATACTTTCTTCTATCCATTTTTTTCCTTTTTATCTGTGGGGGAATTAAATAAAACTACTAGAAAATATAAGATATAATTAGCCAAAAAATACGATATATGAATAACAAATTCCGAAAATTTTTCCCCATTTTTGCTTATCAAAAAGATTTTATTTATTTAGACAGTGCTGCCACCAGTTTAAAACCTAATATTGTTATTCAAGCCATTAACGACTACTACCAAAAATATTCTATTAATAGCCATAGCGGAAGTAGCAATCCCTTGTTTAATGAAGTTCAAAAAACTATTCAGCAAACCCGACAAATAATCGCCCGCCAAATTAATGCTAAAAGCGAAGAAATTATTTTCCTACCCTCTACCACCTATTCTTTAAATATTTTAACTCTCTCTTTGAAAAATTATTTGGAAAAAGGAGAAAAAATTGCTCTAACTCATTTAGAACATAGTTCAAATTGTTATCCTTGGCAGTCTATCGCCCAAGAAAAAGAAGCCCAAATAGATTTTTTACCCCTAAACAAAAATTTTACCATTGACTTTAACGAATTAGAAAATTATATTGACCGAAAAACAAAAATAGTTAGTTTTTCACATATGAGTAATAGCCTCGGAGTGATTAACCCTGTCAAGGAAATTACCAAAAAAATTAAAAAAATAAATCCAAACTGCTTGGTGATAATTGATGCTTGTCAAAGTATCGCCCATTTACCGATTAACGTTGAAGAATGAGGTATCGACGCCCTAGTTTTTTCCGGACACAAAATCTATGGACCAACTGGAATAGGAGTATTGTGAATTAAAACGGAAGTAGGAAGAAAATTACCTGACCTACTATGAGGAGGCGGAAAAAGAATCGGTCCTAATGATAAAATAGAAAACGATTTCCCCTTAGCCAAAAAGTTCGAAGTTGGCACTTTACCTTTGGCCCAAATATTTGGTCTCCAAAAAAGTTTTGAGTTTCTTAATGGTTTTGGTATTCGAGAAATAAGCAACTATGAAAAAGAACTAAAAGATTACGCCATAACCGAATTAGCAAAATTAAAAAAAATAATAATTTATAACCAAAATTTAGAAACGGTCGACTTAGTTCTTTTTAATTTATCGGGTTATCACCCTCATGATGTAGCCGACTATTTGGGAAAAAATAATATCTGTGTCCGAGCGGGTAATTTTTGCTGTCCTTATTTAAAAGAGTTAATTGGAGTAGAAGCCGCAATTAGGATTTCCCTCTTTATTTATAATACCAAAGAAGAAATTAATAAATTAATACTTCACCTAAAAAAAATTATAGAAGAGCCAAAACTATTAGTAATTTTATAATAAATAATTATGCCGCAAAAAAAACGATAATTTGGATAATTAGTGGAATTGTCGGAATGGTTGTTTGACTGCCTCCCTGCCTTATTCTCTTTTTAATAAAATAACAATAAAATTATACTAATGAATTTTTCCTGGATATATCAAGTTCCCGATAAAGATTGATGGGCGAATTATCGCTGACATATAGTTAAAAAAGCGGGAGAATTGGGTTTAAAATCTAATAATTGAAAAAAAACTTTTTTTCGTTCCGGTTGGCAAAGTAAAGTATTGGAAATAGAGGGTATCGAAAGTGCTAAAAAATGTTTACGAAGTTTACAAAATGGCACCATTACTGCTTTTGGTGGCAAGTTTCGCGGAGCCAGTTATGACAAAAATGCTGAACGGATAATTAAGCAAGCCCAAAACTCATTAAAAGAGGCCATCAAAAAGCATAATGAAGGAGAAAGCATTAATATTCAAGAAACTGCCATTGTGCCGCCTTCTTATTATAACTGGTGGTTAATTATTTCTAGTGGTGGAATTATTTTAATTTTATTAGGATTAGCAGGAATATTTTTAGTGAGGAAAAAAAGGAGAATGCGGAGAACCAACCACAAACTCTAATAGTAGATTTAAATATTAGTCAATATAGATTAACAATGTTACAAAAATAATTTTTCTATCTCATTCCACAACCAATTTTTTTATAACACTCACTATGATAAAAAGTTCAAGTCAAAACCCCACATTTAAAATCAGCACTAATAATCTCCTTTTGACACATCCGGTATTTAAGGGTAAGTCCCTGCTTTTTAACTCCTTCAAAAAAAACACTCCTTATGAAAAGATTTAGCCGGTATTTTCGGCACTTGATTTTTGACAAAACATTGAACCCTTTCTCCCTCACTAACTTTTTCTTGACACTCATAACAATCAAAAAACTCTTCCATAATAACCTATTTTAACTAATACGAATAAGCAACAATTTTACAGCAACCCGAGAAACAACTTTAAAAGAAATCCATACCAACCCCTAACTGCAAAAAGTCAACTTTTTTTAATTTCTCCCCTTTGCCTTTTTTTTTTTTTTTTTGATTGGGTTCCAGAATTATCAAAAGTAAGATTAAGTGGAAAATGCTAAGTCAAAGAAAGTAAAATAAATAATATGATAAATATTGACAAAAACGAGTTAGCCGGAATCGGTGTGCAATTTGGTAATTTAGCCCGAAGATGGAACCCGCGAATGCATCCTTATATTTTTAAAAAAATTAATCGAATTCACATACTAGATTTAGATAAAATTTTTAGCAGTTGCCAAAAAGTAGACGATTACATAAAATCTCTAATTGAAAAGAAAAAAACAATTTTGTTTTTATCCACTAAAAACCAAGCCCAAAAAGTAGTTAAAGAAGCCGCAAAAAGGTGCGGAATGCCTTACATAATTAACAAATGAAAAGGAGGAGTTTTAACTAACTTTCGGGAAATAGGAAAAAAATTAAAAGAATTGGAAGGATTAAGCATTTTTTCAAACAAAGATAGTTTTCGAAACCTGATAAAAAAAGACCAAGTTAGCAAATTAAAGAAAAAAAATAAACTCCTAAATATATATGAAGGAATTGTCGGTTTAAAAACCCCGCCGAACGCTTTGTTTATTATTGGACTTCACAAAGAAAAAACCGCCTTCAAAGAGGCCAAAAAAATGGGTATTCCGGTTATTGCGGTCTGTAATAGTAATTGTAATCCTCAATTAGTTGATTATGTTATTCCTGGTAACGACGAAAATATAAAATCTATTACCTTTTTCGCTAATTTATTAGCCGATTCTATTATTAGAGCCAGAGAAAAAATATCAGAAGAAAAAGAACTCAAAACAGAAGAAAAAAACGAGGAAGTTAACTTCAATTAATTTTTCAATTTTTAAATAATTTAGTAAATAAATACTTAAAAAACCCCCACTGTTTTTTTTTTTTTTTTGTAAAATACCAATAAATATAAAAATTATGACACGAAAAGAAATTAGGGATTGCGAAAACAGAATTAATTCCTTAACGGCAGAAAACTTTTTTGAATGAATAACAGACTTATTAAGAGCTGCTGGGATTAACGAAACGGAATTGAATGCCGGAATCGAAGAGTATGAAGAAAACGAGGAGGCAGAAGAAATTTTAGGACCGTGAGAAATCTTATGAGACAAAGGTAAAAATGCTTATAGTTGAGAAAAAATTAAGGGTAGTAGAAGTGATATACCGAAAAATGCTAAGGAATTAATTAGAGTAACCGACTGACTGCTTAAAAAAGGGGTGGTGGAAAGTGATGAATCCGATGAAGGAACCTCTGATGGTCCCGAAGCCGTATTTATGAGGAACATTAAAAGCCGTTTTAGTGGTTCGCTGGTTTCCAAAATTTTTGGAAAAAACGGAAAATTAAATGAAAAACTAAAAGAAGTAAAAATAGGAGATTATTTTGGTAATACTAGTTGAAAAGATTATTTAGAAGATGAAGAAGGAGGAAGTTTTGAAACAAAGAAAATGAATATTTTGGAATGCTTGGCTCGTTCAGTAGTCGAGATGGTTCATGCTGAAATTACCGCCGAAGATGTCCCAGAAACTAAAAAAAGGGAATTAAAAGATTTTTTAGAGAATTATATTACCAAAAACAATACTGTAAACGAAAAACTTGTATACACTTATGATTGGAGTGATAAATTCAAAAACTACAAAAAAATGGTTGAGGAAATTAAAAATCACGTGCTTGTTTCGACTGTGGATTGAGTGGAAATTCCTCTCCGAAAAATTATCGGTGAAGCCACGGCGGGGGCTGTTATAGAGGACACTATCACTCATGGAAACCTTTCTAACCCTTTGACAGTGAAAATTACCAAATTCGGTGGCAGAGCCGGCAATTATGCTTGGATAAGAGGACAGCGACATTTATCCACTTACGAAATAGAGCCATTTAAAATCGAAACCGAACAAGGAGAAATTGAAATTAATAGTTTACTTTTAACTTATCAGAGAGATAATTTTGAAGATACTTTTGGCGATGCCGACAAAACGGGGTTAATCCGGGCTGAAATTCCGGGTTTTATGGATGAAAACAATCTCAATGATGGTCGAAAAATTGGTGAACATAAACTCCTCCATGAGAATGACCTTATCACTCTCCAATTACCCAACTATAATTTTGAAATTGTCAAAGGGGAAAGAGTAACCCGAAATTGATTCTTTCAAGGTGGTGAAGGAGGTAGCAAAACCTACTCCTTACAAATTTTTAATGATTATATTTTGGTCTTGCCGGATGGTCGATTTTTCCCCTACAATGAGAATAGTTTAACGGCTCTCATTTCCCAAGCCCAAAGTTGAGAACAAGCTGATTTATCAGCGGGAACTTTTCTAAAAATAATTGCCGGAATTGAAAATCATCCCCATTTTGCTGCGGCTACCCCCCAGCAGCTTGAAACTCTTGCCAAACTGAAAGAGCAAATCCCAGAAGTTTTCGCTATTTGACATGAAACTTTAATAAATATGAAAATCCTCCCCGAAAAACATAATGCTTGAACTACTTTTTTAAACCACCTAAAAAATGAAACTGCGACCGAATGACTGAAAACCGACGAAAAGGCAGTTGATTATTTGCTTAAATTAGACCAAAATGGTTATTCAGCAGTGGAGGATGCCGAAAAACTCACTTTTTTAAAAAATGAAGCCACTAATGAAGTTAGCGTAAATTATACCACTGCGGAGGGAAATTCATACCCCGCTTTTGAATGAAAAAAAGATGCTGCTGACAATTATTCTAAAATCCAAGAGAATATTAGAAATTTGTCTATCAATTTGACCGGTGCTAGTCAAACCCGTTGAGAAAGTGAAATCAAAAAAATTTGTGGTGAAACTTGGAGCAACGAATTATCCACTGAAAAAAACCTTGAAAAATGTATCCAAAAGGCACCAAATGATAGAAAAGAGAAAGCAATTAAAACCATTATTTCTCGGGAACTAGCTATTTTTTCTCCTATCAAAGGCGACCGGTGAAATAATACTTTTTTACCCCTCCAAACCCGAGTTAAAATTTTTTATGCTCCAAAACTAGAAAGGAGTCTTAACATTAATCATTGCCGTGGTTTTTTAACCAATATTAACGCTATTTTAGCGGTTAAAGATAGCGAAACAACCTGACAAGAATTAAGCATCTTAAAAATTAATACTTGAAGAGGCAGTTTTTATAATGACGAATTTAAAACAATTATAAAAACAGTTGCCGATAATTTATTCATTAAAGTGGAAGCGAAATTGAATGTGCTAGAAAAACTTATTAGGGAAAGGGAAAATGAAGAACATTCAGCAGCCGATATCAATTTCGAGTTTGATTACTATAATTTACTGGAACAAAGATTAAGCGGCGGAGAGGAAGGGTTCGCTTATATTTGAGCTTGAAAGGATATTTTTGCTGAAAAAACCCAAGCCGAAATTAATCGGCGATTTAAAAGATATTCCGCTTGAAAAATTTTAGAGATGGGGGAAATAGGAAAAAGTGTTGCCTGAAAAAATCGCTTTTATTGGAATTATCCGGAACAACTACACACCGAAGGAAGTGAGGCAGACCTAGCGGAAGTGACCGAAACATTGCGTAAATACGAGGAAGAATGAGACTGAGTTTGCCAAAAAAACAGCCAATATCAGGGAAAAATTAACGCTTTGCGAGAAGCAGTCGGATTAGTCGATTTAAAGTCTCTTTTGGACGATTTTAACCAAACCTTTGCTAGGTTAGAACTTGATAATTTAAAACTTTTTTTCGGCCTATTAACTAATTTTTGAACTAAAATATCCAATTTCGCAGAAACCAAAATTCTAAACCAAGCAGAAACGGAGCAAATAGAAACGGCAGCCAAAAAATATCATGAAGTTGAATTAGAATATTATCTACGCTCAGGAGAAATTGAACTTAACCAAGTTCGTTCATCTGAATTAGAAAAATATATAGAGCAGATCAAAAGGTTTTCCGAAAGTGCAAGCCCCCTTGAACGAGAAATTTGGGAGGAAGTTAAAGATAATAGAGTGGAAATTATTAATGAGGAAACACTGGAAACTGAAAGTCCAGCCCAGTTAGGAGCGGAGAGTAGGTTAAATGCTATTCAACAAAAATTAAAATTTGTTAATTATATTCCACAAGTTTACCAAGAATATAAAAAAAACGCTGATAAAGTTTTCACCGCCGCCGATTTGAGAGATTTTGAAAATTTTCTTGACAGTTTTCCCGCCCCAATGAAAAATATTGAAGGATTTAAAGGATACGAAGAATGACATGCGACTTATCGCCGAATTTTTCCTGAATGAAAAGAAAATTGAGGATTAGAAAATTTGAGAGAAGATACTAGAAACAAAGTAGAAGAATACACCGAAATTGGAAAAAAGTTTGCCGAAATTGACCGAAAAACTGAATATGATGAAGTGGTGTTCCTAGATGACTTGTTTTATCTTAAAAATTTAATTCCGAACTCCGAACATCCCGGTTATTCCTTAACCAATAAACTTTTAACCCCAGCCGAAATCCAATTTTATACTAATAATAAAAAAGAGGTTGACCTAAAATATTTATGGTTATTCAAACAGAGTTATATCCAAAGAAATAACCAATTTCTTACTGAGTTTGAGTTAACTTATATTGAAAGCGAGCAGGTTAATTTTGCTAATTGAGATTCGATAATTAACGATATGAAGGAATGAGATAAGGTTTTTTCTGTTCCTAGTAAGAAAGAAATCCGAAATAATTGGCAAAAATTCTTTCATGGAGATAATAATAATAAGAAATGGAATTACAGTCAATTGATTGAACTAGTTAAGCGAAAATGAGACCAATACTTCACTACTGAGGCCAAATTAGAGGAATTAATTATTGAAAACGAAGTTAACGAGGCCGGAGAAACTCAGTCAATTTTTAAAATGGAAAGTTTTATCGAGGAGTTTGATGAGGTTATTTTAAGTTGAAATGACCCCTTTTCTCCTTTATTAACTGATTATGATGACTTACAAGCGGCTCTTTTAGTACTTGAAGGCATTCAAAGTGGAACAATCGGAATAGAAAATGATACGGAAGTTACTGAAATGATAAGGGAATGTAGACTTAGACCGATACCAGAGGAACTTAAAGATGATTTGGCAAGAGAATGAGCGGCTCAAAAATTAGCCTTAACTGCTGCTAAAACCGAACAAGAACTCCGCCAAAAAATCACCCAAATGATAGGCCGAGCGAATAATGATAATTTGCCTATCCGAGAATATGGGACATTACTAACCAATTTAAGTGCTTTGTCGAATAGATTAAAAGATAGCGATAAAGATTGAGAGAAAAAAGTTTTAGCGGAAGTTGATACAGAGGGAGGGGACAGCACCGAAAAAAAATTACAAACTACAATTGACAAACTAGAAAACTGAAAAAAAATAATAAGCGATTTATTTGCCGGTTATGAAATTGACCCTGAAAATAGCGGTAATTTGTATAATTATGCGTTAGCAGATATTCAAAAATTATATGAGGAAGAATTTTTCGGTGGAAAGTTAGATTTTTGAGAAAAAGATTTTGTTGCGAGTGCTAAAACTTACACTGCGGCAAAAAAGTTTTGTCAAGATATTGTCAAACAAAGAACAGATTTTATTGGCAAATTTGAAAGGGAACTTACAAGGTTGGGCAGGGAAGAAACCGAAGAAACCGGTAATTTAGATATGGATATAGGGAAAGTTCTTCGGTATTATTATATAGGTATAGATGGAATTCCTGCCGAAAAAATGGCAAAAAGTTTCCATAATGGTTGGTTAGCGGATGCCAAGAAAGTGTTTGGTGAAGGGAAGGAACCAAACAATATCGAAAGCGGATTTATTTTTTTTGTAGTGAATGAGGATGGTGAACCAGATTTAGAAGTTAATTATTCTTTCCGAGGTGAAACTCTCCATAGTCTAAATCCCGTTGAAATATCAAAAAAGGAGGTTGAATTTTATATTGATTTAAAACTGCTTGCCGAAGAAGAAACTTCACCACTAATTAAAGAATTAATAGATAATAATAACCTTAACCAAATTTCCACCCATTATAACCACCACGGAATAACTCCGGAACAAATTTTAGTTTTAGTGAAAAATGGCTGAGATGAAAAATTTGAGAAAGTGGGCGAGGATTTTTTAACTACCGAAGAACATTGAGAGAAAAAAAGAAATGTTCTCACCGAAAATAAAGCGATAATTGAAACCCACGAAAAAGTCAAAGAGAAATTTAGTGCGGCAGAGGAAAAAGCCATTTTCGACCACCCTGCCCTAGATACTCCCGCCGCCATTCAAGCCACCGAGGAACTTTTGAACCAAATTAAAGAGCATGTTGGAATTACGGCCTCCACCGCTAACCAAGCCCGAGCAGCAGTGAGAAGTTATATTCCCTACCACGATGAAGGAACCGACAATCCCAACTACACAAAAGCCTGAACGGCTGTCAATAGTAGAGGAGATTTAGCCCTCAACGAGTTAAACCGATTAAGAGAACTAGAAAATTTACACACCGCCCGCCGAACTTGTCTCGCAAACGAAAATTTAAGCGAGAGAGAAAAATTATTATTTAATGAGGAGGTCAACAATCAAACCGAAAAATTAGATACGGTAGCAAAAGTGAACCAGGTTAACAATCTGCTTAAAACTTTGCGGGAAATTTACAATAAGCCAATTGATAGTTATCAGACTGGTAATATTAGCCATATTTTTGAAAATATTAATACTAAGAACACCTTAAAGCGAGAATATGATGAATTGGCAAAATTTTTCCCCGAAACGGCGACCGACGACCAAAAAGTAGTTTGGGAAGCAGTTAACTCAATATCGGAGCATAAAGCCGAACAAATTTATATTGATGTCGGTCAAGTATTAAATTGATTTAACTTTTTTGAGACTTTTGGGATTAAGGAACTCAATATTGCTAAAACGTGAATGGAAAAACACCCTACCAGCGTCGATAATGCCCGCCGAGAATACGCCGAGGCCTTATTAAAAGATTCAGAGGGTAAACTTTGAATTGATGGCTTAACCGAGGAGGAAGCCAAAAAATTAAAAGGAATTAGTCCAGTCGATATTCCTCAACAAAAAAAAGAGTTGGCTTGGGAAAGATTTTTCACCGAACAAGCCATTCCAAACCAAGCAAACATTAGAAATCGTTGAAAAAACACTTCTGGTTTAACTATAAGCGAAGCCAAAAAACTTTGTGCTAATGGTTATGAAAAAATATTTGAAAAGCATGACGGAGAGATAAAAAATAAAATTTTTGAATTTGCTTTTAACAAAGGCAGACCAAACGAATTTGAAGTAAGTGGTTTCAATTTATTAATCCATCCTAAGCAGCAGAGGGATAACTTAGTTAGATTATTAATTAAAATTAAAACTGCTCCCGATTTAGCAACTTGTCGAGCAATAAAAATTGATGATACCCAATATGACCCTGCCAAAGTTCCCGCTAAATACTCTTATGACAGAGTAGAAAATATTAAAAAAGAGAAAGAAAAAGAATTATTCCGAACTGCTTTCCGGAACGAAATGGGAACTTTACCCATTAGCGAGGATAAAATTACTGCTTGATACGACGAAAATACCGGTTTAGCCAAGAATGGTATTGACGAAGCCCGAGTGGCTAAATTAGGGTGGGAAATTACTCCCGATTACCAAATTCGGGATAAGAAAATTATTAACTATCGGTTGGCAACTCCTCTTGGCGAAGTTATTGAACCAGAAATTATGGTTGAAAGGATTGATTATTTTGAATTAGAAGCCGCCTTGGCTGGCATAGTAATTCCAATAAAAAATTTAGTGGTTGAAATTAAAGCAGAAAATTTAACTATCGCTGATTTTCCGCCTGACCTTTTCGAGACTGAAATTGATAATTTAAATGAAACCCTTTTGCCTCCTAACCGAAGCAAGGACAATCTTAGAACTTTCCGGAATGAAGAACGACAAAAATTAGTGGATGAAATCTTTATCATTGAGTTCAAAGCCCAAAGAGGTGAAGCCGCTAATGTAGAGGAACGGGATAACATTTTAACTTACCGCAATAAAAAAACCCTTGATAATGGCACCGAAATTGAAATTAGTGGAACACAAGCTGGTATAATCTACAATAATGGTTGAAAGACCCCTAACCTAATTGAGTTTGATAATGAAGGCAATATTATTATTTCCTACCCAGGAAAAAAAGTTTACCCTCTAACTACTTCATTCGCCCAAGCCCAAAAAGAAATTTGGATTGATGCTTTTCATGGGTGACCTGTCTCT